GAGAGGGAGCACCAAAAAAAAAAAAAAAAAAAAGAAAAAAACATAGGCATGGACACAAGCCCACGAATGGCCAAAGAGAACGATGTGGGGATAAATGAAAAGGGCTCTCTCTCACGCTCTCCCCACTCTCGTGCGAAGCGAGCAACACTGTCGACAATTTCTACCCTATGGCGCCGACGTGTCTCTTCGAATTCGAAGTCATTTCAACAATCCGCATTTGGAGAAAGTACCTTCTCTCCTTAGTACAGGCAGTGGTAGTAATAATAATAATAATAATAAAAGGGCCGCCCGTTCCCCCTCCAGCCGATCCCACCCTCTCAGTTTGGGTCGTGCTAATTTCCGGCATTACATTGACGTCATGATAAGGAATTGATGACCTCATCCTGCTGCACTTGGGTGGAGTCGGTTTTGTGCCTTTCCTCGCCCTCCCCGATTCACCACTCCCTTCTCTTCCGCGCGCTGAGAAAATCGGACGCACGGCAAGAAAACGAAACTGCCTCGAATGGACGGGTAGCAAAGAGAGGGGATCAAAAATCCTATTCATGGGCCTTCTGACATGGGCAATTCTATTCAAGAGAGTTCTAGACGAGCCGGTAGTTGCCAAGGAGAAGGTTGCATCTCCCATCGCTTGAGACCCTTGTAGTCTTCCGGGTTGGCGAAGCGTGTTTGGGGGAGGGGGCCTCTTATTTCCTTTTCCTTTTTTCTTTTTTTCCTCTTCTGTCACTGGTGCACTGTCATTCCTTTTTGTTTCCTTTTCCCATTCTCTTCCTGATCATCCCTTTACCCCCGCAAATATGACGTCACTTACATCCTCAAAAGTTTTTAGCTCCCTCCCCTGTCCGCCATCGCTGGTCCGAGTTTGCTTACCGTAATATTAATGCAAAAAGCTGCGTGGTGAAACCTAATTGGTACTGTATACGGTCCCGGCCGTCCTGTATCACCGTTTTTTTTTTTTTCAATTCCCTAGAAGTACCTCGGTACACACTGGGAGCGAGATTTCGAACCACAGGGTCCTCCATCCAACCTCTCTGAAAGGTCAAGAGCATAAGCACAAGGACGAAATCGCAATACACCCGGAGCGCCCCGAAAGGCAACCTCCCGGAATTCATCCCAAGAGTAGCATGTCTCCGCGCAACGTACGCCCATTGTACGCTGTGACGGGTGGCGACTTGGGAGAGACGACAAGGACAAGGAAACGAAGGAACGAAGGATGAGAGGAAGGGCAAGCCAAATAACTGGGGATTACTACTTTCACAAGTCGAGGGTAGAAGGAGATTGCCTATTATTGCTCTCTTTAGAAAGAGGGCTGAAGTCGATCTGGCATGAGGCTAGTAGAATGCCATTGGTTCGTCCCCAGGGTTTGCTGCGTCCTCAAAGCCATCGTGAACTCTAGGGTCCAGCGAACATGATGTGTCACAAATTTCGTGCTGACTCGATCACGGTTATCAATGGATGCTTAATTCCAGAGGAATGGCCGTCCTTGAGTCAGGAAAGTCCCATCATACGCAAAGGCTATTTGATGGAGCACGAGGGGGATGTTGTTCGGCCGTGGCGGGGAAGGCTGGTTCTAGGGTTCTTAGAGTTCAGGAACCCGCCTGATCGGGCACCGCTGATCTCGATGTTAAATTTAATGCGGTATGGCTAGGGTGGTAGAGGAGATGGATGGACTCGAGAGGCCTGACCATGTCTCCAGTATTTTTTTCTGTAGGGGCACGTCCGAGAACTGTTGGCGACTTCTGTTCAATGTCTTGCGCCGTAGCAGCAGAATCAATGCTTTGGCTTTTGAGAAAACACACGGCCGCGCCCGCCCCGGATGAAAGTGACAGGGCCATGGCCCCTCTTCTCCTCCATTCTCACTCGGGCTCACCTAGGGCCCCTCTCTGACCTCATCGTGCATGAATAAAGGAGTAACGCGAGCACGCTAAGACAATCCGCATCGCGACTTCGTTTTCTTTTTCTCACCTTATCGAGAACACCACGTCGTCTACCTCGTTGGTCGCTAGGGGTTTGGAGGATGGCGGGCTCGCACTCGACTTGATGTGTACACTTCTGGCGTGCCCGTCACCTCCAGGTTCCCTCGGCCCTGGATTTAGTTAGGGCAAAGAGATGAGGTGGGGCAAGCTTAGTGCACTCTTCGAGGACATGGAGAGGTGCTTTGGTCAAAATAGCAAAGATATCAGTGCATGATTGATGCCTTTTCCTTTCATTGTCTCATGTCCTAACCGCTAATGTTTCTTGGGGATGGGAGGAGAGACAGATTGTCAAAACAATGTCGAGGGCTTGTGGCGGCCCATCAACCCGACCAAGCCATGCCGGAGCGGAGCCGGGGGTGGATGGGTGGGGCCTGTTCTGCCTTTCAGATATGATCTGATGTAAGAGATACTTTGAACTCGGTATATTTCTCTGCGACACCCCGAGTATAGGAACCCGTTTTGGACGACCCTTTTAGTGTCCACAAACGCAGGGCTGTCCTGGTGGCTGCCCACCCAGGAGAAGTTCGATAAACCCTTATTCCAGGGGAGGCGTCAACCGTGGGTTATCTGCCTCACCCAGGCGAAAAGCACCGTGACGGCCTGGTCTGGGCTAGCCTCGCACGAAAAAGGAAGAGATCGTTCGTCAGACCCCGTGCGAGCCGGTTCACGACCCACAGTGGCTGGCAGCGGCATCTCTCACTCACTGGCGCCTCAGAGGGAGCCGAATTGTTTGACAAGCCAAGGAGCAAGGGCACCGGTAAACTCCCGTCAAATCAAATCTAGCCCCTTTGAGATCCAAGGATCGTCTCTCTGCAGGCCATAAGACGCCCACTCAAAGCTTCACTGCACCACATCCAAAAGAAAAGGATAGTAAGTGGAAAAAAGAAAGAAAAAGTAAACACGCAACTAAACGAAAAGGAAAGAGGTCGTCGGGAAGGGGAAAAAAAAAAAAAAAAGGCCAGAGTGGAGTCGGCCAAGCCACGGGATCAAAATCTCATTGCTCGTGGTCCATGAGTTCTTTTAACCCCTAAACGCGGTATTCTGAGAATCGAGATTGTGGAAGGCGATCGGAGTTGAGGTGTCGATGCCCGAGTGGCCCAAAATTTCCCACTCTCACATAATAAAACCGATCAAATCTGATGGCTATAATATGGCTCAGGCAACACCAAGTCGTCGCGCTCCACCACGCTAGGGCTCTCAGTGAGCGCCAGCAGTCAAACGTGGCTCACGTTGAGAAATTCTACCAGGATCAAGGCTCCAGAATGCCCGTCCCCCAGGGCCGAGAATCGAGCTAGGTCATGTTGAGGTGGTATCGTTAACGCTGTCAATGGCGCGAAAGACAATCTCGATCGAGCAACGGTTGCTGAGGGTTGCAGGATGTGGTGGGTAGGGATCCATCGTAGGGTGTGTTGCGTAGATGGGCGGAGAGGCAAGGACGTGCTTGTCCTGCAGAGGCAGAGGTCCCGCTCAACGTTCCTTTGCCGGACCATCCTCTCGAGGGGAAGGCATGAATGGTCTTGAGGATGGTCCCCAGCTTGTATAGGTACCCTTTTTCATCTCATCAAAGAACGTTAAAATCAGGTAAGTAGTACTTTGAGGCTACGGAGGGGTGGACAGGCCGAGAGGAACTTGTCGTCCCCACCTCTGAGAACGCCGAGGGGCTGTGGAATTATAGACCAGGTGCGAGCTCAAACGGAAGGCAAGCGGTGCCCCGGTACAAGCAGATCACACCATAATATGTCCAGCGTACAATTCCACGATTCCTTCCCCCAGCCTCTATTACCACACCCCGTCTCACCCGCCCTCGGCATCGACCGTTCGATATCTCAAAGAGACGCCCTCAGTAAAGACGCACGCACGCGTGCGTGTGGTGTGGCGGCTCGACCACCTCCCCCGATTGACGGGGAATGAAGAAACGGTGGTTTCGTTCGCAGCCCTGACCACGATGTACCTTTCCTGTTGTGCTGTCGAGAGACGGGAACCTGTCGCTCTTAACGGTCCAGCAACCCTGTCCCGCCGTCCCGTTGATTAGCGGCTAATCACAGACTCCCACCTCGCTGCGGCACTGCTCGATACTCGTGGCCAAAAGAAGCCTCGTATCTCTATCTACTTTCGCCTCCCTTATTGAGATACATGGTTGAAAGGACGGACTCTATCATTTTCTTCTTCGTCTCAAGAGCGGAGGTTCCTTCCCTTTATTGCCACATGGACTGATAGACAAGCCTCCTCAACCCCCGTCCCCACAGCTCTTGACATTTCTGAGCCAAAGTAAATAAGGGAAACAGCCTCCCACAACGGAGCTTTCTTTCCACACCCTTTCCTCTTTTGAACTTCTTTCCCTTCGTCCTCCGAGTTCGACATAGATCAGTCTCTTTTCTATTCCCTCGCTCACCAGTCCAACCAAAGCTAGCATTACTAGCAACCACAGCGTTCAACTCTTGGGATCGGCTGCTAACCCCTCTCGCTTTATCTTTCTTTTTTTTTTTTTTTTTTTTCCTCCTTCACTTGACCGTTTAAGAAGTCACACAAACTATCGGCGTAGCGTAGGCTAGGGACCTCTCCACACCGGCTCCATATTAACGCCTTCGACTGAATAACCCCCTTCCCACGGTTCGCTGGTCTCCCCCAAATCACATTCTCGGGTCAATATATACTTGCCGCGCCAGAGCCCCATCTATTTTTTCCCGCCCACGCTCGTTCTATCTCAAGAAGAGTTCACGTCATTGACTCCCCACTCTTATATGGACCAACCCTCTTTGTGTGCCTGAACTATCCATCTTTTTTTTTCTCCTATGCCCTTTCCCTCCTCCCTCCTAGAAACTAATTTCCGCCGCGCACTTATCCCCTTTGGAACTTTTTGGATGAGCATTCCTTCCTTCGCTTGTGGTTTCTACGCCCATCTTTAAATATTCCGGGTACCCTCCCCGTCCACGGACGAGCTTCCCACCCCGCCGGCTACCTCTCTCATCCTCCTACTCTACCAACACGCGAATATCGACGAGAGTGCAAGAGAAGTACACATTCGACATGATTCGCCAAAGGTATGTGCGATAGCTTCAGAGCTCGCTGTGATGTTGCCCGGACAAACGCACATCACCTTTCCCACTACTTCCGTAGAACTCTAGAAAGCTAACCGCTGGTTTTACTACTTAGAAGAAGCTCACAAAAGCCAGGAGACGATCTCCTCGCCAACTTCAGGCAACAGTTTCCAGAAGTCGCCACAACAGGGACAATACCGACGAACGGCGCCCCGGCCGGCCTGGCGGCGGGCCCGGAGCTGGCGAGAACGGCCATCACGATAGGTACGAGATTTACGAGCTCCTTGGGGGTGCAGTCGTGTGCATATTTGCTAACAGGTCCCTTTATATATAGAAACGCGGGCCTCCCGCACGACTCATTCCGCGATCAGGATCCCACCCCGCGCGCAACAAACGAGCAATGGCGCTTTACCCCATCTCTTCTCGACTCGAGCTCATTCGCCTTCTCCGGCTTTAACCATGGCGCAGGTGCCTACTACACGCCAACCCCGGGCGGAACCAACACCATCTACCACCCTCAAGCTGGCGATTTGCACACTCCCACCCTCGGATTAGGGATGGGCTTGAACACGCCTCTCTCGCTCTCAACCTCCGAGGCTACCATGCATAACCCGGCAGCCATGATGGATTTGAACCATTTCCAAAACATGCAAATGGGACAGTTCAATGGTGGATTCGTTTCTGCGCCTCCCCGCAGGCGTCGTTCGCTCCCTCATCATTTGTGCAGCATCCCGATCCCAGCTTCGACACAATGGACCATGACGGTCCTATACTAGACGGCGACGACAAGATGGGTGCGATAAATGGCGGCTATCACTCCATTTCACCCGTAGACATGGACGGTCGACCTCAATACAACGGAATGCATATGTCGGCCCCTCTCCCCTCGTCTGCCGAGAAGTTCCGGTTCCACGCGACCCTTAACGCGCCCACGGCCATGATTAAGCATACAGACGAAATTCCCATCACCTACCTCAACAAAGGCCAAGCCTACTCTCTTTGTATCACAGACACGGGCGCCAACCTCCCCATAGTGCCGGGCACTCGTTACCGAACATTTGTTCGAGTCTCGTTTGAGGATGAGCAGCAGCGTCAGAGGCCTGCTGCTTGCTGGAGCCTGTGGAAAGAAGGTAGGGGCACCAACGAAGCTCACCAACGAGGGGGAAAACTTCAGGCGGTCGAGTTCATTGAAGCCCGAGACCCCGGTGAAGGTGACGATAAGCGCACCCGGGTCGAGCTCGAGACCTCGTCTTTCGATGGCTTCTCCGTCATCTGGACACCCGGCATCCACGGAACGGCGGAGGTTAGCATTGCTGTGCGGTTCAATTTCCTTTCTACCGATTTCAGCCATTCCAAGGGTGTCAAGGGCATCCCAGTAAGGCTGTGCGCTAAAACGAGCCCTTACCCCATCGATACGTCGAAACCGCCTCCAAATGACGGCTCGGTCGAGGTTTGCTTCTGCAAAGCCAAGCTCTTCCGTGATCACGGAGCGGAGAGGAAGCTGTCCAACGATATTGCTCACGTCAAGAAGACGATTGACAAGCTCAAGCAGCAGATTTCTCAGGTCGAGAGCGGGATGAAGGACTTTGGCAAGAGGAAGCGGACTGGCGGCGGCGCGAACAAGATTGACCCGCAGCGACCGGGCAAGGTTCAGAAGCACAAGAGAACTTGGTCCATGTCTTCCACGAGCTCGGTAAACGGGGCAAGCAAGCCGCCTGCCGAAGACGACTGGCATGTCAAGCTCCAGACGCTACAGGACATGTTTACCAGCACGCGGCCCATCAGCATTCTCTTCCTCCGCGGCGAGGAGCTCGACGACCCTGACCTGCATCCAGTGGCCCTGCCCGGCGATCCGGACTTTTCCAAGTTTGAGGATAGGAACAGTGCCGTTTGGCAGGCTCGGAGCGGTCGAAGCTCGGTTACGAGCTCCTCTCTCGTGTCGCCCTCCACCAGATCACCCTCTCTAGCTTCCCAAGTATCAACAACGGGCATGGGTCAGTGGAGCGTTGACGGTAACGAAAATGACCGGGCGGCTTCGGACAAGTTCATGATCAAGAAGAACGGTTACAGTTCAGGAAATCTTAGTGGCTGGATCGAGACCCTCGGAGTGGATCCCAGCTACAGACCTCCTGTTGAAAGAGAAGTAGGGCCCGTAGCCTGCTTCTACGTACGGCGCCAGGAGAACAGGGCACAGAGCAAGCCCAGCCTATATCGGGCGGTCTACCTAATGAAGCGCACCCAAGACGAGCTCAAGAACCAAATCGGATCGAAATGGGATATGGAGCCTTCCAAGATCCAAAGAATGATTCGTGTCACACCGAGCGGCGTCGAAGTCGAGATTGACGATGACGTGATCAGCGAGGTCGACGAAGGCCAAGACATGATTATGGAGGTGACTGAGCTCGACAACGGTGCGCCGGTAAAGACGGAATGGGAGATGATGATTGATACAGGCGACAACGACACCGATGGAATGCCTAAGCAGAGGGGCTACGAACTCAGATTCCACTTCTGAGAGACGTCATAAGCACAGGTTAGCCACCCAAGTCATACGGGGCGAAGTGTTGTTGAGCATACCCACACCAAGGCGGCCCTCGAGTTCGCTCAGTCCCTCCCTTCCTATTCCTCCTTCTTAGCAGCAGGGTGGAGCGTTTGTTTCTTTGTGTTACAGCGGACAATGGACAGACTGAAGATTTACGATGTCATGTTTTTCTCCTCTTCCTTTTCTTTTTCTCTTTTTACCATCTTCATTGCACGATTCCCTTTCTTTTTCTTCTTCTTCTCCGACCTCCGATATCTTGAGTCTTCTTGATATCACCTCGAACGAGTCGCGGTGCTCGACTCGGCTAATTATAACTACTTTCCGCGATGGCCCGACGGTGGGTGGGCTCTCTGCTTTGCGCTCTGTGGCAGATGTGGAATGGAATCAAGGCCTTTCCGTGATTCTTTTCTCAATTTCTCTTGATTCTTTTTTGTTTTTCTCTATCCGGCGTGGGGGTGGTTTAGAACGGATGCGCTGCAGAGTGGCTTGCTTTTCATTACAAAAACGGCGACTGGAAGCCAAAGGGGAAAGGTCTCTCCAATCATATGGGTGGCTGAATCGGGAGTTTTGATGAATGAGATGAAGAAGAACGAAGATGTACATTTCTTTTTCTTTTAACTGGCTTTTTTCTTTCTTTATTATTCCCATTTCTGTCTGTGTTTTTGCTATATATCATGATTATTTGTCGTCTTGCTTCGCTTGTTTGAGTAAGGATTCCCCTTCGCAAGACTTGTTGTCCAGCGAATTTTGTCTTCGAGGTAATGGTGCTGAATCTGGAGCGGTTGGGTAGGCAGGCCATCACGGCATATGCGAGGTGCAAGAATCATGAATAAAGAAGCTCGACGTCTCAGTGTTGAGACTGATGGGTCATCCGCTACACATATACGTTCCCACTTGGTATTTCGTCCTCTTCATGTTTGTTTTGATGCCTCCTTTTATTCTATTGATATCAAGTCTATACGACCTATTGGTAGGCACTTCTCGACGCCTCCAAACCCTCCAGCGGGCAAACTTAAGAGGGTTCGGTCGCTCTGGCCTGGCCGCTGGCCCCTCGGCTTTCCACGCGCTCTTCAACCCGGCGCTCTTTGATGGCTCTGAACTTTGGAGAACTCGGCACAGGCACCCTTTCTCTTTAGCTACTCTTTAGCTTTGTGTGCAATCACGGTCCAAGCATAGTCTTATTTCCTACGAATACCCTAGATGTCGCAGAGGGAGGTGAACAGAAGGGGCCGACCACAGATGCCATCTTAGTCGTGATGAAGATGCATAGACTCTTTCCTTGTAATCGCGCCACTGCGTCCGGGTAGCTTGGGCGATTTTCTCCTACACAGAATGTCTAGGCTGACGATACCTGTGTTGTGCTTGCTCTTACCATACGGCCACAGCCCGCGTGGCGGATTGGCAAGTGTCATCGGCGGCAGCGTCAATGTGATGTGATTTGAGAAGAGGTACAAAGTCGCAAAGGCAGTGGGATATGTGCCAAGGCGGGTGCCGGAGTGCCAAGCACAGCACGACGTTTAGATGCAAAGTCAACTCAAGGCGGGCAGCAAACCATGATGACTATTGATTACGTTCACGGCTGGGTTTGTGCGAGGGTTCGGCGCACTCTATCGCGGGTTTTGTTTCTACAAGCTGGGTCTTTGACCTGGTATGGACCTATTGGAAGGGGGAATGGAGAGAGAGAGAGAGAGAGAGAGAGAGAGAGAAACTATGTCCTGGTGGGCTAGACAGATTGGCGATATCGGGGCATTCTGTCACTTCTTGCATCACGGGCCTAGCAAAAGGCGGTAGGGTATTTAGTCCCGGGCTGCTCGTGGAGGTCGAGTAACGAAGGAGCTTGGGCGGGCAAGCTGAGGCAGGTGACTAACAAGGGCGCCGGGCGGAGCGAGATCCACATTTTTAAGAAGCCGCGGGCCTCGGCCCGGGTCTTGCGTTGGGAGAATGAAGGCGGGGACGGGGACGGGTGCCGGAAGTGAAGCTGACGAGGGGGCGGGGGAGAAGAGAAAGGAGAAGCGGGGAAAAGAGGTCAGGCCAAAATGAATCAGATACTGCGATAGTCCAACAATCATATTGATCAACGATGGCATGATGGCAGGACCAGTGTGACCTATCAGCCGTCAAAGAGATGGACAGGCAGACAAGATACACCCCCTCGTTTCGCTCTCTCGCTCTCTCGCGAGTCACTCTACTGTCACATATTCCCTCCTGGTGCTAATGGATATATGTATCTACATGTATGCGTGTGACGTGTGCGTGAGATTGGAAAAGGTCTGAGTCAATGTCCGTCCGAGTACGAGTCCCTCCCCACAGATTCCACTTTTGGGAGGGAGGGGTTTCCCCTTGTTTCTTATTAGCTGGGAGCGAGGAACGATTAGGTTGATTCCAGATGATAGGGCCTTGGGCTTGGCTGGACAATACGACCGGGAAGCTCCCTTGGTGCTTAGATCGGTGTGTTGAGGTTGCTTTAATGATGGGTTCCTCCACCGTACATCCTCCACATCGCACAAGAAAGTCTGGGGTATGGAGCGGCGCGGGGGAAAAGAGGAGCAGAGCAGAGGTGAAGAGAAGAGCTCCGCCGTTCTCCAGGTTCGATCTCCAGTTTTTACCCCTCTCTTCGTTGATTTTAATTTTCTAGTGGGTTGGCGATGCGCCACTCGCAACGCTGAAGACTAAAAGAAGGTTGCGGAGTTCGAAGTTGAGCGACGTCTCGCGAGAGGACAACTTCTTGAGCGCAGACCTGGAATACCTAAGCGGAAGATTAAATGCGTTTTCACACGAAAACGGGGGTGCGGAGCGCAAAAGGCGACGCAGGCGAGAGAGATTGCGTGCAGGCTGCATTTCTCAGCAGAGAGCTGTGTCCATGTACCTTTTGTCTCTTTAGCGGAGCGGGAAGGTATTTGATTGGGCGCGCAGAGTGTTCCTGTGCTGCTCGAAATTTTTCAGTCTTTCTTTTTTCGTTTTCTTTACTTTTTCTTCTGTTGTGATTCGTCACCAAATGAGCCATCGATGATCATTGCCTGGTTCCCCCCTTCCGCCATGTCTCCCCGTCTGAGGCATCGGAGCCGACGACCGGAGGAAAAAGAACGTGCGTGATGGGTTGACCTGGACAGTCCGCCCTTTCGTTGACAAGTCCATTCTTGCTGCCCCCTCCCCATCCCAAGAGCGCCATCGGCCGAGAAATACAGGGTCGAGTCAACAAACGATCAATGCAATAGAACAAGGGAAGCGTAAAGAAAGAAGAAGAAGAGCAAAAGAGCAAGAGGAGGACAATCGGTGCGTCTGTGGCAAGGGTCTCAACGGACCTCCTGACCGACAAGGAAGAGCCTGGTCACCGCTAAGCTCTGACTCCCGGAGACGGGTCGGTCCCCTCCCCACCCTCGTCGCCTTTTCTTCCTCGCTTCCCTCCCGTCGCCGATTGACCGATTGACTCCACGCCCTTTGGCCGGTCATGTTTTGAAGAGTTTAGACCCCGACCTTGTTTTCTGCTCCGGGTTCGGGGCTCACACGAGACTGCAAGCCACCCATCCATGCATTGTGTGCCCTCTCCAATATCGTGGTGATGTGGGGATTACCCTTTGGCAGATGGATTGAACAGAGTGATCTCGAGGCTTCAATCTTATCTGTGGGTTATGGTTGTTTTGTTTGTTGCTACCCTTGGCTCGGACCATGTAAACCGAAGATGGAGCCACGGGATGTGGATAGCGTTCATGGAATGTGCTTTCTCCTCTGGTCGAGGATCGAAGAAGGAATTCTCCGGTCCACAAAAAAAAAAAAAAAAAGAGAAAAGAGAAAAAGAAAGAAAGAGAAAAAGAAAAGAAAGAGAAAAAAAGCCTGGAGAAAGCGGGAGGAGACCTGATAGCAGTACACCAAAATATCAAAGTCTTCTTCAGCTCCCTCTTTTGACCATATAAATTCTTTTTCCATCTCCGCGCCCTCTACCTCGGTATTCTATGCCTCATGTTTTGCCACTCCAAGCTGAGTGCATAATAATAATGACTGCTATTGTCTGACTACTAGGGCCAATTGGTTCGAAAAGGGGAGCTCATATTATGTTCAAATCTCATAAGACTACTTGGGACTTGGGGTGTACAGCATAGAAGCCGGGAAGTGAGGCCAAGTGGGTCGCGCAAAGATGAGGACTCGGCAAATGTGTGCAGCGCGCACTTTCCAAAGGTGATTTGAATGGATATCCAAGATAGCACTGGCGCATTCCTTTCAGCATCCACCCATGACAAATAGAGCAGCTCCAGCCGTTGGGCCTTTTACCTCCGTCTTTTTCTTTCTTTCTTTTTTCTCCTTTTTTTTTTTTTTCTTTTTCCCATCGTCACGAGGCCCAGGATATCTAGTGGTCCTATACCAGACCGCCGTTCGCATCGAGCCACTTCGGCGCCGGATAACGAAAGAGCATGTTAGCGTGGCAGGGCGGCCGGGGTCGAGTAAAAAGGAAGAAGCAAAAAAAAAAAGGAAAAAAGAAGAGGAAAAAAACCAAATGCTGGGACAGCTGATCCTAGTCCGGCTATTACACAAGTAGCTTTGCCCCCGCTATGCCCCTCAGGCCCCTCGTCCCCTTGCTCCCCTCGCTGTAGTGTACAGGTCTTCCCATCTTCCCAGCACGGCGCTAGGCCCGCATCCTAACGACTCCACTCGGCATCCGGTTCCGGAAAACGCTCTGATTGGGGTTTGGTCGCATCAATCCATCACAACAGCCTCCGTCCCTCGTTCTCCTCCCTCCAACTTTGGGTGCGGTCGTCGGCTTATTGGTTCCCACCGCCACCCTCTTCTCCACTCCCGCACCGAGGGAACCAACAATTTGTTCCTGTTTCTTTTTCTCTTTTTTCTCGCTCTCTCTCCCATTTCGTGCTTGGCCGCGCTCCAAATCCTCCGTACCACACACCACGCAAACTCAAAGAGACATGAGTCTAGTGTACGCTACTACACCCTGTCTTCAGAGCAGTATGCCATTTGGAGTAATGCTTGCAACAATGTACCATGAGTCGGGTCGCGTTGCTCTCCCACATCCTTCAGTCGAGAAAGAGATCTTCTCTTTTCCTAATTGGGCCGTCATCGCTATACCACACTAGAGGGGGCGGAAGACGTTGCGAGTCAAACGTGTGCGCACACACACACACACACACTTCTAGAAGAGAGGCCGAGCTTTTCAATGTGGTAGCATCGGTAGTATTAGTAGTAATAACCGTCCTAGTCGTTTTTTTCTTTTCTTCCCATCCCTCCCTCTCGTTCCCTCCCCTTTCTTAGTAGTAGAGCCTTGAGTATTATGCCTCGGCCCATATTTCCCTTCCTTCCCAATCCTCACCCGCCATCATCTCCATTCCCATTCCGAGTAGCCTCTCATTTGCTCGTCGTGACATGTTCCTAGTCAATGTGCCACCGCATTCTCTCCACCTTGGTCTCTTAATACCTCATGTCCGGAGTTGATTGAGAACATCCTTCCTTGCCATATCTCGTCCCCCCCTCCCTCCCTCCCTCTAATCTTCCTTGCCGCGTTGCCCGTCCTCCACATCCCCGGTCTCGCCAATCATGGAGAAAGACCGAGCTATCGATGTGGAGGAAATCGCCATCACCGCCGCCATCACCGCCGCCAACACCACCACCAACACCACCACCACCGCTCCCTCCCCGCCTCGTTCCCCGGCATCCCCCTCCGAAAAAAGGATGACCTCCGCCCCCACCCTCCCTCGCCACCACCGAAGCAGACGACGGCGACGACGATGACGACGACGACGACAACGAAGGCCCGTATACCTACGGCGACCTCGAGCGCGGCCTCTCCGCCGACCCCCACGCCGACCCGGACCTCGCTGCCCGGAACGTCCTGACCCACATCCGCACCGGCACCAGCATATGCAGCGCCGCCTCCCGTCCTCCGGACTACGAAGTCGTCTTCGAGCCCGGAGACCCCGAGGATCCCCGCAACTGGCCCGTCTGGTACCGCGGCTGGACCCTCGCCGTCCTCTCCTACTCCAACTGGGTCGTCGTGCTCTACAGCACCAGTTACACCGCGTCCATCCCCGGTCTCACCCGCGAGTTTGGCGTCACCACCCCCATCGCCACCTTGGGGCTCACCACCTACCTCCTCGGCCTCGCCGTCGGCAGCTTGATCGTCGCGCCGCTGAGCGAGCTCTACGGCCGCCAGAGGGTGTACTTGGGCTGCATGGCCGCCGCTGTCCTGCTCGTGATTCCGTGCGGTTTGGCCAAGACTCTGACGGAGATGATTGTGATTCGCTTCTTTGGGTGAGTGCCGTTTCCTCCTCCCCTTGTTTGATCCTTGAGCCTTCTTTTTCTCTTCGTTCTCTCCCCCCTTTTTGTCGAGTTTCCATCTTGTGTACGTGAAGTCTCGGCCCAAGAAACCATCCAACACGATACGTGTGCAATCCTTTTTCCCTTTCGCGCTCTTTCTTTTCGTTTCGTTCGAGTCTCTTGCCTCTGCGTATATGTGCGTGTGCTTGTGCGTGTGCGTGTGCGTGTGCATGTGTCCTTTTAAAAATATCGTACATCCAAGTTCCACTTTCGCTAACGACGTGATACTCCCTTTTTCCCCTGTAAAGTGCTTGCTTTGGCTCCGCTTTCATCACCAACAGTCCCGGTTCCATCGTGGACATAAGCTCCGAGAAGCATCGCGCCCTAGCCATGTCCCTATGGTCCATCGCTCCCCTCAACGGGCCCGTTACCGGCCCCTTGATCGGCGGCTTCGTATTCCAGTACCTCGGCTGGCGCTGGTCCAACTGGATCGTCCTCATCATGGCCGGCGTCGCCATGGCCCTCCTCTTCACCCTCCGGGAGACCTACGCTCCCACCCTCCTGCAGAGAAAGGCGGCCCGGATACGCAAGGAAACCGACGACCTGCGCTGGTGGTCCAAGTACGACGAGAGGGTATCCAAGTGGCAGCTGCTCAAGGTTAACATGGCGCGGCCCTTTATCCTGAGCTGCACCGAACCGATTCTTTGGTTTTTCAATTTCTGGTAAGCCAAGACGCTCCCTCGACCAGACCCCTTTCCTCTTCTTCTTCTTCTTCTTCTTCCTCTTCCGAGCCGTGCATGCAGCAATACTAACCCCATCCGTCTTTCCCCACCCGCCCAGGATCTCCCTCGTCTACGCCATCCTCTACCTCTGCTTCCTCGCCTACCCCATCGTCTTCTCCCAACACCGCGGCTGGAGCCCCAGCATGACCGGCCTCTCCTTCGTCGGCATCGGCATCGGCACCCTCCTCGTCATCTGCTCCGAACCCCTAATCCGGCGCGTCATCAACGCCCAGCCCCGCGACCCCGTTACCGGCGCCGTCCTCCCCGAAGCCTCCGGCAGCATGATGGCCCTCGGCGCCGTTCTCACCCCGCTCGGCCAGCTCGGCTTCTCCTGGACCGGCCTCCCCATCACCATCCACTGGGCCGTCCCCATCGCCTTCGGTATTCCCTTTGGCGCCGGCAACACCCTCTGCTTCATCTACGGGTCCAACTACCTCGCCAGCTCCTACGGCCTGTACGCGGCCTCCGCCCTCGCCGGCAACGCCGTCGTGCGCAGCGTCCTCGGCGGCGTCCTGCCCCTCGCCGGCCCCGCCATGTACGCGCGCATGACCCCCAGTGGGCGGGCACCTTTTGGGCCTGCTCGAGGTGGCCATGATTCCCATCCCCTCGTGTTCTGGAAGCACGGGGCCAAGATTCGGGCCAAGAGCCGCGTCTTGGTGCAGATGAGGGAGGAGCAGGAAAAGGCCGAGAGGAAGAGGGAGCGCTTCCGGGCCATGAAGGCGCGGCGGGAGGCGAGGGAGGCTAGTCCTGGTGGACAGCCGCCGGAGCCGACGCTGCATGCCGTGCAGTCGATTGCTTGAGAGATGGCGAGAAGGAGCTGCGTTTAGGCAAAAGATTTCGAAAAAGAAAAAGAAAAAAAGAGTTGAATCGGCAGGGTGGAAATCGGAATGGTAAGTTTTCTGAACGGGAAATCCATATAGAAGGGCGGTGAGCGCCTATTATAATGATCCATCTATCCATCTAACATGCAGTCCGGTGTCTGGGGGAATCGCATTTACAAAAATGTTTTCGTGGGCATACCAAATCATTACATTGAATAATCATTTTCGCTTTTCTTTGTTGCTACATCATATCTATACATATATAGTAATAAAACCATGCTCTATCAACTACGCCTCTCTCTCTATTTTCTGTGACTTGTCTTCGCTTCTCTACTAATATCAAGGCAAGAAGTGATCCGTAGATAATATTGAATGATCCATCCTAGATGGATGGTATTGCACCCACACTTGACGCCGCCTACTAGCTACAGGTCGTATCTTTTCTGTACCCAAAGTAGGTCATGATCAACAAGGACCAGGACTCCGACGTAACCTGGGCTTGAAATATTTCCTCTATTGCCGGCTTCGACACTATACAATGTATATAAACTGAGAAAGCAATCCCTCTTGTGACAGACCCTAACCGATAACATGCAAGCAATACTGATGTGGGATTGATCCATTTAAGATTCTAGGACTTCTCGACAGCATCCTGTAGCATCTCTCGTGCGTTCTTGATTGCCTCTTCCTCTGTGCCTTGCACCCCATTGACCACGACAGTCTTCTCCCTTGATTTCATTCCATGAGAGATTTGGATCTCCGACTTGGGCCTTTTCAGAACCTTTTGGTTCAAGCTTTGTATCAGTACAGCCCATCTTTTATAATGTGAGCGAAGCAGGGGAAACCTGGGCCGCCGTATCTCTGCAAACTCACCTCGCTCAACAGCTGCACCACCGCCTTGTTCGCCTCGCCCTCCCGCGCCTGCGCCGCTACGCACAGCTCGACCGCCTCGTCCGACACCGCGAGGATGCCTTCCCGCACCCGGCTGGCACCTGGCTTCACGTGGCAAGTAAGATGGAGGGTAGCAAGGGGATTCTTCTTCGTGCCCGCGAGGAAGCGGATGGCAGCCTTTGATGACATTCTTCTTCTCTTTTATTTTGGTAGGTCGAGATCTTTTTTTCTCTTTTTGTGAGGTTTCTTATCGGGTGGTATGGGAAGATGTTGGGATAGTTTCGCTATGAAAGGCGTGGGCAGGATTGCGTGGTGGGGTGGTTGAACGTGGGAAGTTGATCGGGCGGAATGGGGGATTTCTCTTGCATGCTTGCTAGAGGGATTACGAGCGAGATATAGGGGTGGATAGGGATCAGTCCTCAGACGAGTCTGGTGATCTCTACGTCGTGTCCGCAATATTGGCCGCTACACCCTCTCTGCTTCCGGAATGCGTGGAACCCACGCATGTCTACCTGCTATTATACGACAACGATAAAAGCACCCATCACAGATAATAATGGTAATGACGACTAGCATGCAGAGGCCTACAGTATGAAGTCTGCGAGGCCTCTAAGGAAACATTGCATCTATGCACATGTGAGAGAGGTTGGCAAAATCACGGACAAGGTCTGCATCCGCAGGAGGACGCAATAATGGGACGCGCCCCACAAGGCTTGGGTACAGCTCCCCCATCTCTCCCCGGTAAACAGGATGTGGTACAAGGCCCGAACTGAGGGTGGTATTTTCGGTGTGTTTTTGTGTTTAGCACAAAGCCACTATCTATCGACCGGATGCATTCATCAAAAGCCAGTTGCCGGCGAGGACAAAACATCTCTTGACGGGGGCGGTCATGGCTTCTCCGTGGTTGTCTATGGCCGGATCCCTTTTTCAGAAAAATGACATCCCCCACCGAAAACCTGCCCCTTCATGCAACCAAAAATAACGCCAGGAACCCTGAGCTGTGCCCCATTAAAGACATTCCAACATGCTTTTTGAAGTTTAAACGTCAGAAATCTCGCGCAATCGTCGAAGGGTGGAGCGAGCGGTCGTGGCAGCGGGGGTGCTATTCGAACCGTTTGTTAGTATTCATACACAAGAGAGGCATCCATATCTGTGAGGCTGGCGGCGGAGGCGGCGGGTGCTATTCGGCCTGCCCGATGCCTTGGTCGTCGGATGTTCGTTGCCCAGGGGTTTCGACTCACGAGAGGATGTAAGCACCACCGGAGATGGTCTTCTTGCAGCCACCGCAGTGCCAGATGCCGAAGGACTGACGGCGGACGGTGTTGCGGCCGCAGAAAGTGCTGTAGAACCCCAAACCCATTAGCTCCTCTTGTCCAAACACTTTTTCTCAGTCGCAGACTCGGTCGACGTACCAGATGTACCGCGCGTGCTGCTGGATTTCCAGTCGCTTAACGACCTTTCGGAGCGAGGCACCGTATCTATCGAGCGGAAAGAAAGTTAGGAGGGCAAAATTCGATTTTTGTAAGAAGAGGGTCGTCAGGGCGAGTTGGTTCGATCGTACCTCGTGCCGTACTTGCCGACAATGCCGACCTCTGTAAAAAATAATCCGTTAGTATAACAATAAAAACGAAGCAGCGAAGAGAAGATAACATACTCTTAGTGTGCTTCGCCATTGTGTCGTGTGGTTTGACTGGAATCTGGCGATTGAGATGTGTAGTTGGCGATTCTCGTGATAAATGCTAGGGTGCGAAAAATCGTCAATTTTGGGCCATAGTAAATTTTGTGTGGCCGACCGAACGTAGTGGGGGCTAGTCACGTGAAGGCCTTTTTTGTTCAAATTGAAGGTCCAGTCCGGTCCCCCTCATGCCCAAGCGAGTTGCAAGCTCGCCATGTGCGATTGGTGTGGGTACCTCTTTGTACATCACGTAATCGTAGTAGTAAGCCAAGAGCCTCCGCCAATGCTGCTAAAAATGAGGCGAGCCTTCAACAGTTGGCAACAGACGCCAGCCTTCACTAATTCGGGTGGCAGTCTAGTTTAGCGACGATTTCTTGCTTGGCTTGGAACCCTTGCCACGAGCACAACGGCGTATGCGACTTGAGCTTCAGACTGAGCTTCAACCGCGCTTCTAGCTCTTGGCCCTGCGATTTTGAACACTGGTGCCCGCCCAGTCTGACACCATCACAAAGCCATGGCTGTTCCTTTTACGCAAGGCCTGCAAAACGGCCTTGCCAAACCTACATATCGAACTGTCACTTCTCTTAGTCGATGGTCGTGTCTCGCGACGCATCCGCCTCGTAAGAACCTAGACTTTGCGCCGAATACACCTGTCGCTGGCTAGCTAACGCATTGTCTCTCCTTGACTTCTGAATCTAGCTGCCGAAAAGATCAAGACGATACACATCTATGACTTTGACAATACGCGTAAGTCTCGAACATGGCTAGCTGCGCGACCGAACGCATAACGATATAACTTTTTTTCCTCCCTTCTCTCCTCTAGTCTTCAAAACCCCGCTCCCGAATCCCTCGTTATGGAATGGCTTGACAATTGGGCTGTTATCGAGTCCTGACACACTCATCAACGGCGGGTGGTGGCATGATTCGCGAATCCTCGAAGCCACGGGCGATGGTGTGGAAAAGGAGGAGCAAAGGGCCTATGGCGGGTGGTGGAACGAGAAAATTGTCAAGCTTGTCCGCTTATCCATGAAGCAAGAGGATGCGCTATGCGTTCTCTTGACGGGCCGGTCAGAGCACGCCTACGCGGATCTAATCAAGAGGATCTGCAAGAGCAAGAAGCTCGAGTTTGACATGATGGGCCTGAAGCCTCGCGTGGGCCCTCAGGATGAACGCTTTGCCAACACGATGGTGTTCAAGCAAGCTTTCCTCGAAGCCATCATGGAAACCTACAAGTTCGCCACGGAGATTCGCATCTACGAAGACCGACACAAGCACGTGAAGCAGTTCCGGGACTTCTTGACTGATTACAATACGCGGCAGGGCGGCGCCACTGGGGTACCCTTACCCGACCCCGATAGGTGCCGAAGTTATCCACGTTTTCGAGAAGACGATGCACTTGAAGCCCGTAGTTGAGGTTGCAAAGGTGCAGCAAATGGTAAACGAACACAACATAGCTATCACGAAAGACGACGATCACCCAATGTCGAATACCTCCCACTCCCCCAGGGTTAAGCTTGCTATCAAGAAGACGGTTTTTTTCACGAGTTACATGCTAAAGCATGCTGACTCTCAGAGACTAATCAAACTAGCCCAGATCCCATCGGGTGTAGCTGAACAGGAACTCAAGTACCATGCTAACAACATCTTGATTTGCCCCCGTCCCTGTCCAGCGAGCATCCTCGAGAAGGTTGGCGGGATGGGAAGCAAGATGAAGTGGATGGTCACAGGCACCGCCTGCCTAGATAACAGCATCTGGGCTGCCTGCCTACGGCCCGTTCCAGACACGGCCAAATTCCACACGGACAACCCCTGCCCGCTTGTAGTGCTGGCGCTCCGTAAAGGGGCGAGGCCGATTGACGCGGGCAAGATCCAGAACTGGCAGCCCGTTCCAGCAGACAAGGCATACGTTTTTGAGACCACGGTCAAGGAGAAAGTGCTCCTTCGAATAGAAGCCGAGGACCCGAGGGAGGACGAGTATGAGAGCCTTTTCGCGAACAAGTCTTCTAAGAGGAAACACAACGCGGAGGAAGAGTACCCACGAGGACCCAAGGAGCCCTATCACGGTCCTAATCAAAGGGGGCTTCCGCGGCCGTGGAGGATACCGTGGAGGCGGCGGAAACCAACGCGGCCATCGTGGTGGTGCGCGAGGCGCGGCGAGGGGTCGCGGCCGTGGCAACTTTTATCGCTCTCTCGACGACGTCGACTCGAGGAACCAATCCTTTGGTGGCGTCGACTATGACGAGGGCCAGCAGAACCAGGGGTTCGGTGGTCAGGGCGCCAGCCGCCTACGCAGCCAGCCGCGCATGGTAGGCCTGGTGGAGCTGCAGACTTGGGGAGTTACTACTAGAAGACCATGAGCAACCACCCAAGGGGCACCAGGGAGCGCGGCAGAAGAAAATGGCCGCGAGCCCCTTGGTTCACCCTCCCACTTATCAGGTGCCCGCCCATATTGCGCTTCAAGGAGTATGAGTGCGAAGAGGCATTGTTTTACCCTATTATCAAGAGACGAGCGCGGCGCCTCGTTTTGCCCGCTTTGTTTCGTCACATCTACCTACATCTCTGCCCCGACACCCATTCTCTAGTTCCTGGAGCTCGACGATCTTGAGCGAGGGGGCCGGGGTGGCCTTCCAGTTCGCTTCGCTTCCGCCTTTGAGGCTTTCCCTGTACTTCCTTCTATATCATTCGCAACGGCGCATTCCAGGTAGAGGGGTCATCATCTATTCCCCCCTTCTTTTTGGGACCTTTTATCTTTTCTACCGTTTCTTCCTATCCTTTTATCTTGGCAATTTGATACCAGGTAGCCGTTAGGTTTAAAATGCAAGCTCTTGTGATGCTCTTCTTACTCGTCGAGACATCTCATCCGTATCCATGGCTGCGTTACCGCCCTTAGAGAACTAACGTCGATATGGTGGAGATGTGGGTGTTTAACTGTTGACCTTTGTTTTTCAAGTACCTAAAAACGCCATCTATGCTCCTAGATTTTTTCAGACAATCCAACAGCATTCCAAACCCGAAAAACAATCCTAATCTGCTTGTAGAGGTTTCTCGTTTCAAGAAGGCTCCAATATCTATCCATATCCATCACATTTAATTGCGAGTTGCTATCCACCCCCATCTCCATCTTACTCGTCATCATCGTCGTCCTCGTCGTCATCGTCACTATCGTCTTCTTCCTCTGCGTTCTCTAGCCACTCCACCAGCGCCCTGCACTTCTCCTTGATGATTTCCATGTTGCTGCCGCTGATAGCTCTCTCGTCAGCCCACCATGCGAGGATACCGTCCTCTTCGAGAATGTCGAGCGCGTAGAGCTGCTGGAGCATGGCGGCGAGGAGGAGACCTCCCTTGCCGGGTTCTAGGCTCCTGATACCGGCAACGGCGCGCTGAAGGGCGACGGCAAACTCGAGCTGGTCCGAGTCGGACTCGCCGACGCCCACCTCCTCGACAAACTTGCTCACACCCTTGCACGAGCGCAGGGCACTCTCGGCCGCCTTGGAGGCCTCGAGGCCGGACTCGACGAGTTCCGCGCTGCGGCGGGCAAGGGTAACGGCGACGGCCTTGCGGACGGCAGACTCGGAAGCATCGTTGGCGAGGCGGAGGCCGAGGAATTCCATCTTGGCAGAGTCGAAGTCGCTGGTGGGGTCACGCAGGGCGTCGAGGAGGCCGTTGACCGCGTCGGCGTGGAAGGTGGCGCGGCCGGATGAGTCGTCGGAGGCAAAGGAGGAAAGGCGCGAGCGAGAGGTGAGGCCAGAGGGGGTATCAGGTCGAGAGCCGCCATCGTCCGAGTCGTCGTCGTCGGAGGCGAGCGTGGAGATGGAGGAGTTGGAGAAGGAGAGGTGCTCGATGGAATAGATGAGACGCCGCTGGAGGGCAGATGGGTCTTCCTCATCTAGCTCATCCTCCTCGGGGTCGATGAACCGAGCGCCCTGGGCGGAAGCGCCGAGGAGCGCAGTGTCGGGAGAGACTTGCAATCCGCCATCGTCGACCTTGGAGATCAGGGCGTTCTTCTCGATCGTGATGCCGTCACCGGTGACCACGCCGTAGGAAAGCACGCAACCCTCCTCGACGGTACAGTTGTTTCCGATGGTCGCCCCTGCGCCAGCCAGTATTGACCTCGTGACGGTGGTGTTGTCGCCGATTGTCGTCCCATCCCAAATGAAACTGTCGGTGATCTTTACGTTTTTGCCAATCTTGCAGTTGCGACCGATAATGGTGTTGAGTATGGTCGATCCGTCGCCGACGGCGCTCTTCCTCGCGATGACGGAACCAGCGATCAAAGCATCGTTGGCAAGGGTGACGTCCAGCTCGAGGTAGTTACCGCCCCGAGTAAGCTCATAAGCCTGGCCGGGGAATATGTTGCAGTCGGGGACAAAGGGAAAGACCAGCGACCTAGGATATCGCGGCTGACGGACTCATACATGGGAAGGCTAGTGGCCCGGGCCGCATAGCCCTCTTCGATAATCTCGGCGTATATGCATTTTCCATTGAGCTCCCAGTCCTTGAGCACACCGTTGAGAAAGTCGCGGCGGGGCATCTCGTAGTCGAAGCTGTCAGACCACAAGGCCAAGGCGGCGGGGGTACAGATATCGATCTGGGGGTCAATGAGGTCGGCACGGACCTCGAAATCGGCCGAGAGCTCATCGAGGACGGTGGGGTCGAGAATGGCATAGTGCTCAGACTGAAGGGGGTGGATCTCGTCGTACTGCAGACAGCGCTTCGTCTTCGTGTCGACGACGTAGACGGGGTGATGCCCGGGGTTTTCGTCCGGTGGGGGCAGCGCCGGCGCTTTGAGGACGACCGTCATGATGTTATCCGCGTTGGCCTCGCGGCGCTTGCGATGCGCCTCTAAGATGGGCTGGAGGGAGATGTTGGAGACGAGGTCGCCGTGGACGAGGACAAAGTCACCCGAGATAATGCTGCGCTTGTCTAGGTCGCGAAGAATGTCGCCGGCGGAGTTGGCGTCGGCGACGCGCACGAACTGGATGATGTGGAAGGGCGACGTCCTGGAGCCGAGAGCCCATCGCGACTTGGAGATGTAGGCCTCGACCTCTTCGGTGTGAGGGCCGCAGTACAGGTAGACTTCTTGCACCCCATTCATGGAGAGGAACTCGAGGGTGTACTCGATAAGGGGCACATTGGCCAGAGGGAGGAGACACTGCGCGGAGAGAGTAGAGCAACTCCTGTGTTAGCCAACATGCATGCGCCCGCGGCGGAATCATGAGTCCAAGCCCTATCTCCCTAGCACCTACCCTTGGTGTCTCGATACTTAGAGGCTTGAAGCGATCTTGGAAGGAGTCGGTAAGGATCTATAAGCCATGTATTGGTCAATTAAAATCGCCCAGGCCGTATCTAGCATGTAGCTCGGGGGTTACTATGTCCCCTTTCCCTCCTTGAGGAAAACGTGAAAAAAAGAAGACCGAGCTGGCTACCCCACCAACACGGGAAAGAGGGAGTTTCTTACCACAGCTTGCAGCACTTCGTCGCCTTTACCCTCGCCGCCGGCCTTGCCGCCCTTCTTGCCCTTTCCAGCGGCGGACTGTTTCCCCTTTTGCGTCGACATTTCCCGGTTGCTGATTTTCTCCGTCAAAGGTGCAAAAGCGTGGGGAGGGGGGCGTGGCAAGTAGATTTGGAGACTGGAATGCAGGAAGTTTGCGCGTGGGCGGTTTGGTCAAGGTGGGATGGCTATGAGTCAAGTTTCCTGTCCCTCACCTCACCTCGGTCAGTTCTTCCGTTGTGGGTCCGGGCCTGGGGTTAGGGGTTGGGGGAGATTGAAAATGGGAAGGTGGGGGGACAAAAACCAAACCACACTGGCTCTTGACACGAATAATTCCCAGCCAGTGCCTGCCTGCCTGCGCCCATCAAATTGATCGTTCGCATGCACAGACCAGCTCAAGAACTACAAGTATGATCAGAATCTCGGCAACCTGCAGACCAAACCAAACCTCCTGCGTCATGGCACCAGGTGAGGCGCACACCTACATCAGCAACAATTGAGAGCAGAGGTAGACAGTGTGTGCGTTGTGCGGTGTGCTTCTGTGTCGGTCCAGCTCCATGTCTGGCGGATAAGAAGATTTGAGAACTTTTCGTCACAGGGAAAACTGCTCTAGCATTTGCATTGTTCACGACGCAGACGCTGCTTCAATTTTCTAATACGCAATGAATGAGAAAAAGATCCATCAACACCGTACCAAGGTAGATCCTGAAAGACTCTAGTGATAGGGCCACAAGGCCGGGGACCATTGGATAATTTCGCCTCCCAACCCACTTTGGCCTCTCTAGAGATGGTGCCAATCCAAATTACCGTGGCATCCCCTACCCTTCGGTAAAACGCCCTTTTCGCAAATGATACCATGGCCTATTCCGAAAGCCTGTGAGACTGCCTTCCTCGGCCTCTCCCTACGGAGGCCGTGATACCGACCACCAACGAATAGCAAGTGACATATACATGGTGCTCTCGGTTCTAGCACCCGATAACCTCGCGTTGATACATATACCAAAAGGCATCGTATAACCAATAATGCCAATGAGAAAAAGCAAAGGAAAAGGATCAGTCAAAACGAACTATGAGAAAAAAAGAAAGGGGGTGAGGGAGGGTATAAGTGTATGGGAGTGATGCGTGAGATGTGCGATCTCAACTCCCAAGGCCCGACTCCAGAAAGTAAAAGGGGGAGAGGAAAGGACACTGCAAAAAAGCAATCCGTAACCCGCCATCATGACACGCCAGCCTATGTTTCGAGACCTGAATAGAATACATCCATCGAAAGAGAAAAAGAAGAAAACCTCCGCGAGCAAGGTCGCTGCCCAAAATTAATTTAATAATGTGTTGCGATGGGACGCGAGCTTGGAGACGGCCGCACCGTTACGCTGATGCTGGTAGTAAACCCGCTACCGCATCAAGCCCGAAGGCCCTGCGATGCGCTGCCTTTTTCAGGCCGGTCCACATCCCTCGGCCCTTGGCCAGGAGGTCCCATGGTAGGAGCCATGAAACTAGCGTACTGTCCGCCCGCTTGCGTGGCCGCCATAACAATCGGGTGGCCTGTGTTCATGGCGAGCCCGCCCATGGTAAGTGGACTATTGGCTGGGGAGTGGTTCGTCATGGGGCTCGAGGCATGCCAAGGACCCCCTGCGTAGTTGCGGGCAGCTGCATGGGTGGGTTCTCAAACTTGATCGCGATATGGCCAGCCGCTAGGCTTGCCGGGTCCGGACCGGCCATCTCTCCCACGGTCATGGCAGTACCGGCCTGGACGTGGGCGTAGGGTCCGTTGCCGGCCGGGGCTTGCGGAGATGTTTGACTGAGCAAGTGGCGGAGATGCTTTCGCAGCGTGCGTTGCATGCCCTCGCGCATAAACGGTTTCGCCAATACGTCAGTCATGCCTGGAGATTGAGAGTTAGTTCTTTCTTGCTTTTACGCTAGCGGTGGCCGAGGTGGCACGAAACATACCATATTTGAAATACGTCGACACGTCTTCTTGGCGGATGTTGGATGTCATGGCCACAATTGGGCTATCAGGGAGGTATTCCCGGATACGTGCCGTCGCTGAAATACCATCCAGTCTTGGCATGATGATATCCATGAAGATGAGATCGTAGTGTGGTGGGTGGTCGCAGTCAAACTGCTTAACCGCTTCCAATCCATCCTTCTGCAAAGAAAGTTAGCAACCAGTTTCAATGGTAGGAACGAAAAAGAATTCGCGAAAAGGGTAGTGGAAGCGTACCGCCAGCGCAACAGTACAACCCAAGCTGCGCAGAAATTTGTTGCCAATCTTGGCACATATCTTGTCGTCCTCTACGAGGAAGATATGAGGTTTCCTAGGCCCCCATTCGTCTGTCTTCTCAGCTGGCGGGGACGTGTCCACCCGACCCGAGTCCGTCGCCACGGCCTCCAAGGCGCTGTTTTGAGCTACGGGATACGCCATGGTTTGCAAGGGATCGGCGTGAAAGGCATCGATGGTCGTAGGCTGATTTGTAGAATAGACACCCATTCTCGACATGCCCACCGCGTCGTTCATCACGGCAATCCCAGCGTTCATGTCGGGGGCCACAAACATGGCGGAAGATGTCGAGGACTCGGCGGGTGAAGGATATATCGTGTGGGATCGCTCCATGCTAGTGTCGGCGGGTGCGGGCGCGGGGCCCAGGGTTCCTAATAGTTCCCGGACACGGCGTAGTTCAACAGGCTGGTCCTCGCCCAATCCACGACCCGTCATCGGACCTGCGGGCGACTGGCCGGCGGCCACGGACTGCCTCCGCGCCGACACGTCTAGGAAGCTCACGATTTCGTACTGGGCTTGCCTCTGGGTGCTAGTCGATTTCTGAAGGTTGACGATTTCGCTCACTAGCTGTTTGTTGGTCTGCGCCAGCTCCTCTACCTGTTTCTGTAGGGCATATAGAGTGTCCGTCAGGGTTTGAATCTGCCGCTGGTTCTCATTCTGATCTGGCGTGGGGGCTTGAGGTGGCTGGCGTTGCTGCTGCTGCTGTTGTTGTTGTTGCGACTTTTTCGTCGATGGCGCCTTTCGTCGAATCGTGTCTAGGCTATCTTTCGCATCGATCCTGAAGTCGGGATGCTTAAATTCCCAGGCCTGCCAATCCATTAGTACACCGCCAGGTCCTTGCCCAGGAAACCCCCAAAAATGCGAACACACAAGGGGAAAGGCGTGGGGAGGGTTCGACCAACATTTGGACCGTAGCCCTGGCTTCCGTCATCGGGGCGGCGGACTTTGTGAAAGTCGTACTTGTTCAGCTGACGAACAAAGCTGGCAAAATTACTATGCTTGAAATGTTTGGGAAGAACACAGGTAGAAAATTTTTCGCCCTATACCCCGAAATGTTAGCGACTTCCGTGGTCATGCGGCGCTTGAGCAACGATGCGCATGCGCAGTACACCGCTTCAGGGACACGAACCTCGAGGACGACAAACGAGTCTCCATCTCGTCCCCAGCGAACTATTTCATCATATTCGGGTTCTTCTAGCATACTGTGGATTATATGGTTAGTTTGATGAGTCCTTCAGCATTGGTGCAGAACGGAGCGTGCAATCTTCGATTCAAGATGAGAAACGCACCGATACAGTTTGCGAACCTATACGGGGTAAAAGTTACAGGTTAGTCGAAAGCTGAAGCGTCCGAGGATATGTTTGCAGTCGGCTAGTCACTTACAAAGTCGCTTGAAGTGTTCCCGCCGCCCTGGGCAGGGCTTGGCTTGTCGGGCATGATGGAGAGAGAGGAGATGGGAAAGACGTGGGAGTGGCGGTGGCAAATCTCGAGGTTTGAAGCCGCACACTCGATACGGCCTGGTGGAAAGGGTCGACGGCGAAAGCGATTAGGATTTTGTGCCTGTCGCCGATGAAGTTTCCGAATTGTTGAAGGTATGAATAAACTAGAAGTTGGCGCAAGGTTTCAGTGCCGCGTGGGCTGGCGGGTTGGTCTCGAGCGCTATCGGAGCGACTCGACGTCGCTGTTTTTGTTGTTTGCGCGCTATGCCAACTGAGGGCTTTGTCGCGAAGGAAAAAAGGGTTTGCTCCGTTGGGTTTGATTCTTAGGCCCTCGGTGGCCTCGCAAAACCGAGAGATGACCACCTTTGAACGATGGGTGGGAGGGAGGAACACGGATAGAAGTCGGTTTTGTTGACTGGAGGCGTGCGAGTACCGCTTTGCTCGCTTGGTAGGCGCGAAGCGCAATCGCACAAACGAACAAAGACAAACTCGGGCGAGGAGCGATGACGGTTGGTCCGGCCTGGTAAACTCGATCGTGTGCCAAAGAAAAGGTTCTGGATTAGGTCGGGGAGGAGGGCAAGTTGCCAATTGCAAGCGTGTGGGTGTTTTGGGATTACTGGAGCGACGAAGGCGAAAACACCCTCACGCACGCACGGAAGTCGGGTGCGACTCTTGGGGTTATCGACGAAACGTCTGTGCCGACATCAGAGTCCTCGGATGGTAGCCACGCTGATCTCGAAGCGTACTCACGCGCGCCTGTCTAAATTTTGGTTTGCGGAATTGGATGAAAAGCCATGCAGCGAAGGGCGAGGCGAGGGAAAAAGATTTTACGTCCAGCGACCAAAAGGATTATTTGAGCGAGAAGAGCTGGGCTCGGGTCTGCGATGGCACAAAAAAGTATCAATGTTGCTCCGTGTGGCTCCTTGGGGGACAAGAGGACGGGGGGCCGGGGGAGGGGGAGGGGTCCGCAAGTGTTCGCTGGGTCAGGCCTGCCTGCCAGTCACTCTTGGAATAGAACTGGAGCTCAAAGCTGGAGTTGAGGGAAGGGGGAAGCGGAGATATCTGTGCCCCGGCGCAGCGAAACGAACTGTGGAGCTAGGGCCGCTGGCTTCAGGCCAAAACCGATATCGACACTTAAAAACCACGGAGGGTCGGCCTGGCTCTTTTTTCTTTTTTTTATTCTCTTTCTTTTTTTCTTTCCTCCGCGTGTACCCATGCATGGGTGGTGGAACTGAACTTGAAGCGAAGCCAATTGATAAAGACTAACACAAGTCCCATACAGAGACTTCAATACAGAGAGTTCGAGAGAATTACAGAGAAAATGGGGGTTTTAGGGGAACAGAGCCTGGATCAGACCCGTCAATTCAATTGACTTGGCGCTGACCGACCTCACCCTGACACGAATCCTTGTCTGTGCTGGGCTGGCTTTCCCTTCTCTCGATGAATTGATCTCGGCTCCCCAATCATAATACCTGGCTCCGCTGGCTTAGCCGACAGCACCGTGTTTCCAGTACTGTAGGGGTACACGAGTAGGGGTACGGGCCTCTGCCTGCCCAGTCACAGGTGTGGGCTAGCTTTCTCCTCCCTCGCCATTGTCTCCATTGTTTCCTCGCTTCAAGGGTCTGCGCTTCATGAGTTGTTATCCTCGAGCGGTTTGCTCTTCCGCTTCCGTCCTCCCATGTCTGCTTTTCACTCTCTCCACTATTATGGCTTGTCTTGAAATTGTCGTTATCATGCCCAAGTGGTCTCCAGTCAAACCCCTCCATGTCCCGCGAATTAGTCCACTTTTTATCATCCCCATCGGCGCCCTTGGTTTGATCTCTTCTGCCGCTTTAAAGAGCCGTCCTATCTATTGGCAGTCCTACCGCACCGCTGTACTGTCTGCTCAATCAGAATGTTATGGGCGAATGTGGATGTCTTGAAGTGCTGGGGCTGGAGAAGCTTGACCCAATTTATTGGCCGATGTATGGTGATGTGGGATGCTGCAAGTCTTGGTGCATGCCGCCACCATTAACACAATGTGCGCCATCTGCTTGTAGACACTGTGCGGATTTCCCTGGCTCTGCGCCGTCAAGCCCGTCTGGCCGTGTGCTTTGCACCTTCTGAGACTTTGGGAGGCTTGATCCACCCCGATAACGAGTGACACTGCTGATCAGGGAAAGGTCCCAAGAACAAAAGGGAAAGGAGGGACTGGATTCAACGCCCTTCTTCTTCTTCCCCTCGACTTCGGATTCTTTTTCTAGTGTACAAGTACCTCGGTATAGAAAAGGGACTTTAACAGCGATACGGTTATTTAGCGTGGGTTGATGGAAGAGTCTGGTATTTCGCTTCCCCACATTCACATTGCTCGATCGATCGTGCGCTCTATCGATGGATCGATCAGAGCAAACGGTGATGGGTACAAGGAGATCGGGGATCCCCAAGCAATCCAAGCACCTATTTGCCGCCCCGTCATCTGAACTTGCCCTGGAGGCATCAAGCTCTCCTCCTTGTCCTCCTGGTTCCCCCGTTTCATTATGTATGAGGGTTTAGCCGGAGACAACCCCGACAAAAATATTGGATGGCGACCGGCCACATTTGGCTCGCTACGACATGACGCCTCTCACCTCTCACACTAACTGCCTCAACTCTGCTGCTCCTTGGCGGTTCTGGGGCCCCCGTGCTTTTTTCCTCGTTACCCACACCACGGCTCATCCTTGGAAAGGGCCGGGGGAAAGAGGATCGACATGGAAACAACCCCCTTTGAGTCTAGTCGATAATACTGGAAATAGCGAGGAAACATGTGCACGCACGCTACGATAATAGTGGAACCGGTTCAAATTCCCTTTGGCGCGATCATTTTTCTTCCCACTGTTTCCGAGGACCTCCCGCTCCGGGCGCGAGCTTCTAGCATTTTCTTAGTTGCATCATCGGCCAATCAGCGGCACCGTGAGTGTATCGCGGAGACTGCTTTGGATGCCGTGCTCAACCAGCTTCTCTCTCCTCCCTCTTCTGAGCGACCAATAAAGCCCGGCTGACCTGCCTGTCCTGCCCTCCCCTGTCCTGCCCGAACTAGGAAATACTTGAACATGAACTTCAAGAGGTTATTACCATTAGCACACACACAAGCCGCCCAAAGGCGGTCAACGGAGCCAACCTTAATGTTGCAGCCAAATGACAACATTATTGGCTTGATGGATTGATGGATTGATGGATTGATGAGGGTGGGGTCAGCTTGCTCGCCGTGCAAGTCTGGTCCTTCAGCTTCAGGGTACGCTGATATCTCCAGTGTGTTCTTTCGCCAAATCCCATGTCCCGGCGCATCTTCCTTCAGACATGGATTGCAAGCCACACCATGTCGCATTGCTTTTGCAAAGGCGTTGAGAACAGTGGTCTTGGTGGCATTCCTCAATGGCCGTCAGAAGAAACCCTTCCCGCAAAAGAACGAGGCCGACCGCGCGCTCGGCGTTGTGCACCGAACGTTGATTGGGAGATTTCCGCCTGGATGGGTACAAACCCGCCCACACAATCCCGTCCGCGGATCATGGTTACTCTCCCGGTTGCTTCTTCCTAGGAGGTCCAGACCGTTCTATATGCGCGAGCGAGGTCCTTTATGCACTCTTGCGATTCAATGTTGGGGTATTATTCGCGACACCCATACAAGTCGTCCACCTTTCTTTTTATACCCAGCGCACCTTTTCTTTCTTGCTCCGTCGGTTTTTCCTTGTCTCCCCCTTCGCTTGGCAATCGGTCGAGAACGAACTCGAGAGTGGCTTGCATGACCCGCCTACCCGCTCGCTCCATGTCATTCTCTGATCTGCCCGCAGTAATGCCCGGGTCCTTGCCGAAGCTTGAATGCCGACCAGTATAGTGTTCCCACAACTTGGCCTGGGATGAGCCAAAAAAATTAATGGTCGAGTGACGTGTTAAACCTTCCACAAACTTGGCACGTAATCTAGATGTTGAGAGGAGGTCGCCCCGGCTCGCTCACGGCGATCCGAGCCTCTCCCTACCTCAATGGAAATGGGGTCTTTCACCTAGAAAGATTTATTTCGCCGTTCAATATCATGTCATGGGGACGAAAAGTAAGTTGCATCATGTACCTCGGTAGGTGCAAAGGAGACGAGGGCTTAATTCCAAAGCCAAGTTCAAGATCGAGGTTCGTTGGGTTGCGTTTCAGCGAGCTTGCTTTGGATAGCATAGAATGGCCTGTCGTTATGTACGAAGTCGATGCAACCAACCTATTCTGGCCGGCCCTCCTTCTTTCCCTTTTGTTCTTCTTATCACGGAGAACTTTCGATTAGGTTTGATAGCATCTACTAGGAACAATTCGTTCCTCACCCCCTCACGGTGGCCAGATATTTTTACCTCACTCGACAACGCAACAATACTCTGGCTAAGCCGGTGATTGAACTGGTTGGCCTCTCTAGACAACACTGTACGGTTTCAATCGATCAATGGGTGTGAATATGCAAAGTTAGGACTGTCTTGCAGGGCCCTGTTGCCTCCCTTCATCGGCGCTTCCTCCTTTTTGAAAGACGTCTTTTGTGCCCTCGTCTTTTGATGCAGCCCATTTGGCTTGACCCAGGATGATTTAAAAGATCCGGCACCCGAAGAACCCCTGTGATTCCGGAAAGCTGCCCTGGCCCTTTTACCCCTTAGATCAGATCTCCCGTCTGTGGTGCTTAACTCCTCCCATGGATTTAGTTCAACGACCCGGGGGAACTAGGTTCCGAAGGGATTTGAAGCCTGTACTGGGATGTGCCGTTATGTGCAGCAGGCTGTATTAGGAAAAAAAGAAAATAAAGCCCGATAGTGGTTACACAATACATATGTTGGTGAGGGCAATTCTCCATGGACCCTGGCCCTGTTCCATTATTGCACAGGCGGAAATATCATTCGAGTGCTGCCTCGACCGATGAGGCGGACGCTGAGGACCGGCCCGGAGGTCATTTTCGGGGAGCCGAGCTCTGGTCGAGACAGTGGTAATGATCGCTGCATGATGAACTTAGTCATCCAGTCCCTCGTAGCGGGGCAGAGCCAACCCCTTAACGCGTCGCCGCGCTCAAACGCGTCCCTGCAGCTGGATTTTTGGATGAGCTTTTGGCAGTCATCGCAGGCAAATTCACCGAAAGGTATTACTGCGACGGAACACATTGGTGCCTTTGACTATCTCTTCGCCGTCTCTTGTATAAATAACCACCATGACGGCTGTAGTTGTCGAGGAGATTCGGCCTAGGGGCGAAAATGCCAGTCCAGAGGACGACGTCCCGATGGACGATGCGCCGGCCAGCCCGACTTCTCGAAACGATCGAGAGACGAAGCTAGCGGAGGATCTCTTCTACGATTCAGACGACTCGCTTGAAGAGGAGATGAAGAAGGAGGCCGCTGCACACACTCCTCCATCGAGCGAGGAGGAAGCTTCCAAGGGAGTGTACGTCCATGTTGCGTTCTAGGTTGGGTCGATCGGCTGGGGATGTTTCGTTGCTAATGGACTTGGAATAGGAGCTCGCTAGGCCCTGCATCTGACCCCGACCTCTTGAGGATGTTTTACCAGCGTCTATTCCCCTGGCGATATCTCGGACAATGGCTTGGACATAGCGCCTCCCCACTCCGGACTTTTTCCACCGCGAATTCGCCTTCACTCTACAAAACGAAGCATACCTGCGTTACCAGAGCTATGCCACATCTGATCTGTAGGTTTACTGTGGTCATGACAACTTGGGCCGCCGCTGATGTTCACCATAGCTTGCGGAAGGACGTGTGTGCCATAATACCGTCTCGTTTTGAAATCGGACCTGCATACAGCTTCAACCCCCGCGATCGCAAATCTAACCCTACGGGCTTCAAGCCGCTTTCAAGGAGCTCTGTTTCGATATTGATCTTACTGATTATGACGACGTGCGAACCTGCTGCGACAAGGCGAATATCTGCGAAAAGTGCTGGACCTTTATCACGATGGCGATCAAGGTTGTGGATGTTGCTCTGCGACAGGACTTTGGGTTCAAGCACATCATGTGGGTGTACTCTGGCCGAAGAGGTGCTCACGCGTGGATATCGGACTGCGCTGCGAGGACCATGACAGATCAGCAGAGAAAAGCCATCGCTGGTTACCTCGATGTGGTGAGGGGTGGCGCGCAGAATGGTAAACGGGTGAACTTGCCTCGACCTCTCCACCCCCATCTTTCGTAAGTGAATTCGTTGCTCATTTGTGCAAGATGATCCCGTTTTGTCCTGTGTTACTGACTGTCTTGGTTTCAAGGCGGAGTCTGGAAATTCTCAAGACCCATTTTGCCGAGGACGTTCTGGCTGTGCAAGACCCGTGGAGATCTGAGGAACAGGCCGAGAAGCTGTTGCAATTGCTACCGGACAAATCTCTGAACGATGCCCTGCGAAGCACATGGGAAAAGTCACCTGGCCGCTCTTCCGTTTCCAAGTGGGCGGACATTGACAGCGTGGCCCGCTCCGGAGCGAGCAAGCGCCTCAACGCTGACGCACTTCTCAAGGCCAAGCAAGACGTCGTCTTTGAATACGCGTACCCTCGCCTGGATATTGAGGTTAGCAAGAAGCTCAACCATTTGTTGAAGAGTCCTTTTGTCGTTCACCCCGGAACTGGCCGCGTGTGTGTTCCCATCAACACCAAGGCCCTCGAAGATTTCAACCCTCTCACGGTGCCGACCATTCAGGAACTTTTGCAGGAGATTGACGAGTGGAAGGAGGAAGAAGAAGGGGCTTCTTCCCAAGAAAACGCAAAGACTGTGCCGGATTGGGAGAAGACGAGTCTTAAGCCTTACATTGAGCAGTTTAGGACCTTTGTTGCGCATCTTTTGAAGGACGAGAGGAGCCAAAAAGCAAAGAGGGAGAGGGAAGAGGGCGGCAAGATGGATTTCTAAAATATACCTGTCTCTTTTATTTTCCTTTGTTCTTTTTCTTTTATTTGTTGGAATGACACGAAATAACAACCACGCACGATCTTATCTTGTATTCATAGACGGCCTTGATGGGGTAAGAAGGAATGAATGGGTGGCGGACCAGATTCAGCCAAGCATGTGCATGCTTAAACTAAGAAGGGCGCCGGGACCTGGAAATTCTGGGGTTTCTGGGGGTTTCCTCTTTGGTTTGAATTTATTATTCTATCTATCCTTGCAACGTCTTGAAAACCATGGTTAACCCGTAGCTTCGTCGTCTACGTCCTCTTTGCTCGTAGTAGGCGCATCGGCCATGGCTTCCTCATCACCCTCGGCATCTTCTTCATCCCCCTCTTCATCCTCGGCATCCCTCTCTTCCTCTGGTTCTACGGATCCCGCGCCGGAACCCTCGTCTCTCAACTTGGCCTCCTTTCTCTTGGGAAGCGCTTTCAGGAACGCTGCGCCCCAATCCCCACATTCGAGCCACCTGAGCATGATTTCAACGACGTGGTTTGTGGCTAGCACCTGTCGGCTGTTCATCACCATGTACTCTTTGATGGGGAGCTTGGCTGTTCGTATGCCGCGCTTGCGAGCGAGTCGGTGGCAAAGGCCCTTTTCACGATTCTTGTCCACTATGCCGCCAATCACGTAGGACGTGCCCGGCTCGAGCCGTTCGAGGATGTAAGGAGAGTCGGAGGAGAGGTAGACGATAGTGTCCGTCGTCACGGTTTCGGGTTCGCTATTGGGATCTTCCAGCCTCAAAGACGGCTGGCCTTCCTTGGGCGCAATCACGTCAATGACCTCACCCCACGAGGGCCAGACATCAACTCAGTGGCCTCCTTGGATGCGTCGAGGATATCCCCCTCGATAAAGCGTATCCCTTTCCAGTACTGATGAGTGGCGTTCATGCCGACCTCGTACCTGTTCTTGATCTTGCCTCCCCATGAGCTGACGAATAAATGCGGCCGGTACTCGGCCGCCCGGTTTTCGCTGTACGCTCTTTGTATCTGACTCGACAGGGAGACGAGCTCCTTGTCCACCATGTAACTTTCGAAGCTACAGTCTATTATGATGGAGATGGGGACCGATATACTCTGCGTTTTGGGGTGCGCCAACACGATCTTGGGATCGAGGCCGGCGGCGCGGGCTTCGGCGGCGGCAGCAGCATACGTCTCGCTTGCGCGCCCGTATCGTCTGCCGCTTCTCTTTCCGACGCTGTTTGCGCTCGTCTCGCTGCGCGTCCCACGCTTGCTGGCGCCTTAGTTTCTTTTGTTGGTTCTTGGACAAGACCTCGGGGGTGGCAGCCGGCGCATCGTCGCTTGCGCCGCCGGCTTCGAGTGATTTGGTGGGGTTGGCGGGGAGGGACCGGCCTCTACCTCGACGGCGGGGGCGCCGTTGGAGAGCTCATTGATTTGGTCCTCCATGGCGATTTAAGGGAGGGAGACTTTTGGTTTAGCTATTTCTAGAGTCTCGGGTAAATGAGTGCACATCTTCGCAGCAATTGGTGATCGATGGTGGCTTTAGCGCGGTTCCGCCGATTGAAGGCTGCGTGGCTCTCCCACTTTTTCTTTTTCTTTTCCCGCTGGCGGAATTGGGTGGCAGAAAAAAAGAACTGGAAAGGCGGTGAAAAGTGTAGTGGGTAGGTGCACTTCAGCTTCAGGGATCCTTTTAGCGTGTCACGTCGCGTCTCCCCCTGGGTTTAATAGGCACCTCCTTTGTACGCGACGAAGGGGGTCTACTTTATCAGCTCCCACTTTGCGTGGTCCTTCGAAATCAGTTCAGCCCACCTTTCGCGGTTCCCTAACTGTTATTGTCTTCCCCTTGAATTATAGAAAAATTCTGTTGATTTTAGTGAACGCCCAAAATGTCTTCTCGGCCGGAGCTCAAGGTTCGTTTTCTTGTTTTTCGATGATAGTTGCAGGGAAGAGGTCCTAACCCGTGATCTTAGGTCGACGATGAACATGGTTTTATCCGATTTTTCAAGTCCCTTCCCGAAGTTCACGAGGACACCATAAGGATATTTGATAGAGGTGATTGGTATACCTCGCATGGAGAGGATGCGAATTTCATTGCCAGAACTGTAAGTGTACCATGCCTCTTGTTTCCAGCTCCTGCCTCCCAGCAGGCCACTAACTAGTCATTGATCCGAATCAGGTCTACAAATCAACATCCGTGGTGCGACACCTCGGTCGAAATGACCATACGGGTCTCCCTTCAGTTACAATGACCGTTACGGTCTTCCGACAGTTCCTCCGAGAAGCCTTGTTCAAGCTCGGCAAGCGTGTCGAGATCTGGTCCAGTCCCAACGGCCGCATGAACTGGAAGCTCACCAAGCAAGCATCTCCTGGCAACTTGCAAGATGTCGAAGACGAGATTGGCGGCCAATTCGACTCGGCGCCCATAATACTGGCCGTCAAGGTTTCCGCCAAGGCCTCGGAGGCGAGGAGTGTGGGTGTCTGTTTTGCAGACGCTACGGTTCGCGAACTAGGCGTAAGCGAATTCTTGGACAACGACTTATACTCCAACTTTGAGTCCCTCCTCATTCAGTTGGGCGCAAAGGAGTGCCTTTGCAAGTCGACAAGTCTGGTGGGGATAAAGATCCCGAGCTCGCAAAGCTCCGTCAAATCATCGACCACTGCGGGGTCGCCATTTCCGAGCGTCCAGCCTCCGAGTTCGCCACAAGAGACATCGACCAGGATCTGGCGAGGTTGCTGAAAGATCAGACATCTGCCTCTACTCTCCCCAGACCGACCTAAAACTCGCCATGGGGTCTGCTGCCGCTCTCATTCAATATCTCGGTGTCCTCCACGACCCCTCCAACTTTGGCCAGTTCCGTCTTTATCAGCACGATCTAGCTCAGTACATGAAGCTCGACGCTGCGGCCCTCAAGGCTCTTAACCTTGTTCCAGGCCCCCGAGATGGCGCCAAGACTATGAGCCTTTACGGCTTGCTCAACCACTGCAAGACGACCTCAGGAAGCAGGCTCTTGTCCCAATGGCTCAAGCAGCCGCTGATGAGCAAAGAGGAAATCGAAAAGCGACAACAGCTCGTCGAGGCGTTTGTTGTTGATACGGAGTTGAGACAAACAATGCAGGAGGAACACCTGAGGGCTGTGCCTGATCTCTATCGTCTTGCCAAGCGATTCCAGCGAGGCAAAGCCAACCTGGAGGATGTTGTTCGAGCCTACCAAGTTGTCATTAGATTACCGGGGTTTCTCGGCACTTTTGAGGGTGTGATGGATGAGTCTTATAAAGATCCTCTCGACGAGGCTTACACTACTCCCCTTAGGGACCTCTGCAACAGCCTTGGGAAACTTCAGGATCTCGTTGAGACTACCGTGGACCTTGACGCTCTTGACAGGCACGAGTTCCTAATCAAGCCCGAGTTTGATGAAAGCCTAAAGGTTCTACGGAGCAAGCTTGACAAGCTCGACCGAGCCATGCAGAAGGAGTTTGAAGACGCCGCCGATGACCTCGGCCAGGAGCCTAGGAAAAAGATTTTCCTTGAGAACCACAAAGTCCACGGCTGGTGCATGAGGTTGACGCGACAAGAAGCCGGCTGCATCCGGAACAACTCGTCGTACCAGGAGTGCTCGACCCAGAAGAACGGTGTATATTTCACGACGAAGAATCTTCAGAGCCTGCGCCGCCAGTTTGATCAGATGTCCCAAAACTATAACCGAACCCAGAGCAATCTCGTAAACGAGGTTGTCAACTGCGCTGCTTCGTACTGCCCTGTTCTGGAGAGGCTAGCTGCCGTGTTGGCTCATCTGGATGTCATTGTCTCTTTTGCCCATGTCTCCGTTCATGCTCCCTCGGCCTATGTCCGGCCCAAGATCCACCCACGAGGCGAGGGACAGACCATTTTGCGGGAGGCACGCCATCCTTGCATGGAAATGCAGGATGATGTTCAGTTCATAACCAATGACGTGGAGCTCCTTCGAGGAAAATCCGCCTTCCTGATCATCACCGGCCCCAACATGGGTGGTAAATCGACGTACATTCGCCAGATTGGCGTCATTGCCCTCATGGCCCAGCTCGGATGCTTCGTGCCTTGCGAGGAAGCTGAACTCACCATCTTCGATTCTATCCTGGCCCGTGTTGGCGCCAGTGACTCGCAGCTGAAGGGCGTGTCCACCTTCATGGCTGAGATGTTGGAGACTGCCAACATTCTCAAGTCCGCCACAGCCGAGTCTCTCATCATCATTGATGAGCTCGGCCGAGGCACCTCTACGTACGATGGGTTCGGCCTCGCGTGGGCCATCTCGGAGCACATTGTCCAGGAGATCGGCTGCTTCGCCATGTTTGCCACCCACTTCCACGAGCTCACGGCGCTCGCCGACAAGTATGACCAGGTGCACAATCTACACGTCACCGCGCACGTGAGCGGTATCGGAAAGGAGAGCGGCGAGGCCAAGCGTGAAGTTACCCTCCTGTACAAGGTTGAGCCCGGCGTGTGCGACCAGAGTTTCGGTATCCACGTTGCGGAGCTGGTGCGCTTCCCTGACAAGGTTGTGCGTATGGCGAAGCGCAAGGCCGACGAACTGGAAGATTTTACTACCAAGCATGAGGGCCAAGGTGTCAAGTACAGCAACGAGGATGTGGCCAATGGCAGCGCGATGTTGAAGGAGATCCTCGTGAAGTGGAAGGACGAGGTCAAGAATGGCGAGATGACGCAAGAGGAAATGGTGGCCAAGATGAAGGAGCTTGTGATGGCGGATGAAAAGCTGCTGGCGAACCCTTTCTTCCAGTCTGTGCGGGCGTTGTAGGATACAAAGGGACAACAAGACTTGAGTTTTGCTTGTAGACATTGATCTGTAACCTGCCATGGAGCGGCGGGTTTACAACGGCAAAAGGACTGGAATGGGCGTTACGGAATCACATCAAGGGCAAGAAATATGGAACATTGAATTTTTTTCTTATTTTTAGTTATGTAATTAGGTAGGCGACGAGAGGAAACCGGGATATGAACAGTTTTGATACACAAATCATACGTAAAAGGCCGAGCCGCTTCTGCAAAGGTGTTAGCTGTGAAGTTCCTGATAGAATCTTGTATGCTTGGAAATTGGCAAATAAGACATTACGCGAGTATCAGGAAAACAACGTAGATTGGGTTTGTTTAAACAGCTTTGCCAATGGCAAATTCATAAACAGCCTCTGAGTTCTCATCATGCACACGGGGTAGGAAGGGATTGGGGAATACGAAAAAGAGAAAGAAAAGCAAGAAATAGAAAAGATGGATAAACATACCTCGCAGAGCTGAATGCCGGCAGGTCTTGGCTGCGCAGCGTCGGCTGAGAAACCAAGAAAAACGATGAATTTTGTCTAAAAATAGGCGCGATGGTGACCCCTTACGTCCAAGTGCCGTGTGGTATTTACAGAGTTGACGTTTGAAAGGCGTATTTTATGTTTAGTCGGCCGTCGCCTTGACTGGGTTGATCTCGAAGCCATACTTCTCCTTGATTCTCTCTCGCCGCCTGTCCTCGTATCCGGGAGGGCAAATGCCTATACAAGGGGTTAGTTACGGGATTCAGAAATGACGAGGACTGGTGTGGGCTAGAGCTTACCCCTGCCTTCGCCAACGTCACGAATCGTCTCCTCGATGGGTCTCCGCCTGTTTTCTCGCAACCTCTGTTTCCTGTCGAACTCATCCTCTTCCGGCCTCCTGTTGTAGTAACCGTCGAAGCGGCCACCAGTGTACTCAAAGACACCAAGAAGGGCAGCGAGACCAGCACCGCAGCCGACGACGATAGGCAATCGCTTGTCTAGTCAATGGGTTAGCAAATGAGTGGGAGAAGGTGAGTGTGCATTTTTGTAAGTTTTACATACGAGAGATACCGGCAATGGCACCACCGAAGGCGCCACCGATTACCGAGTTCCAGTGGTCATCCTTTTCACGCAGGTTGGCAGCGGCATTCTTCGTGAACCCAAGGGCCGCGATGGCAACAGCTAGATGACGTGTGTTAGCGAATTGAGCAATAATACACATGATTGGCCGTTGATGTTTTTGAGACTCACAGGAATATCCGATAAAATGGCCTGTCCGTGAAAAACTGTCAACATTCCGAGGTTGCGGCGGGCGAGGGAATTCTGCAGCGCAGAGAGGGTGAGGCCGCTCGCAGCTCCGATGAGGCCATACTTTGCACCCTCCCTCAAGCTATCCTTCTGCTGATAGGACGCCTGCGCTGCGGCGTGAGGCGCCATGGTGAATGAGGAGAGTGTGATGATGGGGGTGGGTCGACGTGAAGGTGTATTTTCGTCAAACGGAAGAGCTTTGAATCATGGACATTCGGATTGGATATTGTTCCATTGGATTGGTCCGTGCTTGGAGCGAAGTTATGTCACGTGACAATGCACGTGGTGGAATTTCCCATGTTGCGCGGCGGCGGGCAATTGGCGAGGGTTCGTTTGGAAAGTGAGGGTGGCTTGCGTCTATGGGGGATCAATGCTTGCAATAGGCTAATAATAAGTGATTGACTCGGAGCACAGTGTTTAGCCACAGCTTCCGCGACGTCATGCAGGAGGCAGTTAGAGACTATCGCCCTCTTGCCTAAGGCAGCTCCCAAGAGCTCATGCAAAGTTCACGTCGAGCCGGCCCTTTTCTAGAACCCTCTCGGAGTAAACCGAACTGCTGTGCGAATACTGACAAGGCTGCGTCAGCACAAACGTAGTCCCCAACTCTTGAACGTCCGTCAGCCCAGCCTCATCTTGCGGGCATCGGAAGAGGGACGTGGGAAAGCAGGCGATCGAGCTTCGACTTTACTCTCCCCCGCCAGATCCAAGCTTTCCCCGCCACCTTTCCTCCGAATTCTTTCCCCAACTTTATCCGTCTCTCCAACGCTCCATCGGCCATAAGCAGGAGCCATCATCGGGCAAATTGGCCGCAGCGTGTTCTCGAAATCGACGTTCCGTTATAAATTCCTTCATCGTAATCCCTCCTGGCAACACCTCGCTCGGTGTGCACCTGACGACCATCGATATACCACGAAGCTCGTTCTTTCCGGGCACGTTTTCGCTGCCACGAGACAAGGCTCAATAGCACAATCATACTGAAACGTGAGACCCCGATATTATCAACTGTTTATTCATTCGCATCTGCTTGGAGCAACCGTGCCTTTCAATCACCCCACCCCCACCCTCTCTCCAGCCTACCCCGCAAACGCAGTCCGGTGTTCTAATACTACGGATCCCGACTATTGCTGGCATCTGGTCTCCTACATTTGGGCTTTATAGCCTGGCGAGCTTCCTCCATCTTGGGTTAGGCTCAAAAGCTAACGTACCTTCTTGACTATCACAGAGCCAGCCTGTAGTGTGCTATCGACCGCCCCAGAGCCGACCCCAGGGTGCAAACGACTGAACGCCCGAACGCGATCGAAGTGACACGCAAGATCCTCTGGTCCGGTTCATGTGTTGCGACTCAAGTGTACTGCAGCAACACGACGCTCGCTACGGTGGGAGGTCATTGCTCAAGGCTGCAACGACCACGATGGCGCTGAAACTCACGCCCCGAGGCCAAGGCGCCAAGGGCTTTCGACCTGACGAGGTGGTCGAGAGCGGTTGGGGCTATGAAACGCCTGCTGGCCTCTTCTCGTTACCATATGGTATGAACTCGAGATTGTTTTGGGAACACCTCAGCCTACGTTTCGTGCTCATGTCTCATAAAAGACCTGACTGCTAACGTTTTTCTCGAACCTCAATAGTGCGCTCGGCGCCGCTTTTCATCCACGACCTATTCGACCATAATCTGTGGGAATGGAAGGAGTTCATGGCTTTAGAGGTTGATAAGAGTTCATTCGCAAAAGAGTTCGATCCTTCCCGTGTGAAAAACCTCCTGGAGTCCCGCAGCACGCCTGCGGTCCCACCTACAAAACACATGATGATCCTGCTTCCCTCGCAAACGTGCATCCACCCCGACGGCTCAAGGACGATATCCGCCGTGTGTTTTCATTGTCTCTATCACTTTACTCTTCGCATCCAGGCGAACTCCGGGCATGATCTTTGCCGGGTTAGGGCGCCCACCGGTGGCACGAATATAGCAGACGCCATTAATGGTCCACATCAGCTCTACCTCGAAAACCGAAACCTCGGGCCTGCCTCGGCCGAATCCAGATATAATCCCGTTATTCTACGTGGGCTATACGCCTGTACATCAGAGCAATGTGGTCTTCAGGTTGTTGTGGAGGTATCCGCGCCGCGAATAGACGCAAAGTGGATCGACCTTTTGACAAACCAAGACCGGATTAAGAAGCGGTTAGAGGACTTGAAAGCTGCCGATCCGGAACGCTTCGATATCGGACCCAATGAGTGGCACAAGGCCGGTCTTAGGCAGCTTGTCACGTATTTAAAAGACCTCTTGGACGCGGCCGACCATGGAAAGGAGCCTCGGACGCTCTCAAAGCGCAATAAACGCTTCGAGGCCGTCATGGGGCCTGAGTTTTATGAACTGTTCCGTTTTCTCGAATATAAGGAGTTCTCTCGCGGTGAGGGGAAGACGAGGAGCACTTTTTCCTACAGACGCTCCCGGAGCCGTGCGAGACGACCACCGAACCTGGCAGTAGACGCGCCTTTTTCGAGGATATTGCTCTCGAATCCAGGATTCATGGAGAGCGTGAGATCTTCCGCTCACCCCTAACGCCTTTGAACTTGGACGAATTGAACCGCTCTCTAGCCAAAAAGACTTCCAAGCTGCCCTTGACTGCCAAAATTATCCGAGCCAGTCAACCAACGGTGCTCTCACCTACCACTTTCGCTTTTGGGCATCCTGCCCGACTTCCACCCCAAGCTCGTGTACAATAGCCGCGCTAAGCTTTCTGCTTTCCTACCGGATTTCAAGGCGACGTTTGAGGATTCTATGTACAGCATTGCTCGCGACACATCTGGCCACCTTGGTCTCAATGCCGAGTTTTTGCGCCGCGCCAAGGCTGTCGTGGGTGAGGATAGCGATGACATGTTCAACGAGACTTGGGGTCTCGCTCCGAGCAACATCCGCCGTACGGATGACGAGGTGATCACTGCCGTGCGGAAGAAACTTCGTGATTCGCCTGAAGCCGTCGATATCATTTTCGAAATGCTCCCGGTCTATGCTAGGTCTCGCGGGAGCAAAAGGCTCCTCCGTTTGATTGACTGGGTATCAACCCTGCTGCCGATGCCTATCGATCTTGCCTTTGACGTTCTCGGCGCTAGGCCCGATGATAGTGCCAAACAGCTCATACTCAACGCACAAACTAGGGTAAGGTCCATCCTTGGACGAAAAGGTCCCAAGCTGGTGAACTCGCTAACACGTATGTCGCTTTAGGTCAAGCTCGCAAAGGCGGCGACCATTGCCAACGCAATGAGGGCGATAGCTCGATATCGAGAAGACTCTGTTCTGTCTCGGCAAGCTGAAATCACCGCGGAAGGGCCCATAACAAACCCGGTTGGACTTGAGAATATCGGCAATACCTGCTACCTGAACAGCATCATTCAATACCTCTACACAGTACAGCCAATCCGTGGGCTTATCGATGAATACGCAGAAAACAAGCTCGAGATCGATGACATGGAAAAGAGGCGGATTGGTGGCAGTAAGGTCAAGGTCCAGCCTGTCGATCTCGTCATCGGCCACTACTGTAAGTCCCTCTCCCACCTCTTCCAAAGGTCTTCACAAGTGTCTTTCCGTCCTTCCCTTCCTAACTACCATTCTCGCAGTCACTGGAGAGGCTCTGCAAACACTATTCGCCCAAATGACGACTGTTTTCCGTGGGCCTTGTGCACCCAGCCAAGGCCTCGCAAACGCCGTTCTTCTTTCCAGCGAGCAACTGTTGCGTCTGGCAAAGTCCGCTGCCGAGCCGCAAGCCTATGCTGGCATGTTTCCAGCGCCTTCGACTAATGTCCGCCGTACCCCGCCGCCGCTGCCAGCACGGCCTACCCCGGCCGTGCCACTTAAGCAAGCTGACGAGACGACGAACGACCCCGATCCTCCCTTGATCGACTTGACAGGGCCGAGCCGTTCTAGCTCCCCTACTCTTATGGGAGATGCCGCTTCAGATAGGTCGTTTGACCAGACCAAGGTGGACGCTATGGAAATTTCTGAAGAGGCAGCGACTGCCGTTAACGCTGATGCCGATGCAAAGATGGGCCAGGCGCCAGGTGTCACCGTTCTTTCAAAGGCTAAAGATGATGTTGAGATGACAGACGGCGAAACTGTGGCGTCAGGCGATGACGAGGGATCAGTAAAATCGACGGCAGACACGCCAGATTCCGAAACTGAAGGACTTCTGAACACTCTCAAGGTTAAGCACGAGCTCACCATGATCCAGCAAGATGTAGACGAGATCATGGGTCGCGTCCTAGGTCTGCTGCAAGCTTCGATTAAGCCCACATCAATCGAGAATGACATCCAGATCGAGACTGTCATGCAGACCTTTTTCTTCAAGGTTATCATGCGAACCATCAGCTACCAGGACGGCGACCTAAGAACACCGCATGAGACCAAATCTGCAGAGTTCTTTAGAAATCTGACCGCCTACCCTGCTCCTGACGGCCCCTGTACCTTGTACCAAGCCCTGGACAACAACTTTGACCAGGAGGAGATTGAAGGCACCACAACATCGCGATATTCGTCTATCGAATCTCTACCGCCCATTTTGCATGTCCTTGTGCAAAGGACCAAGGAGACGGCACCAAGAACCCCAACCCTGTCGTGATTGAAGAATATCTGCAGCTCGATCGATACATGGATGCTCCCCTGGATCCGATCTAATGTACTTCCGTGAAACGAGTTGGACATTGAAAAAACAGCGCGCGGCTCTCCTAGAGCGAGAGAACCTTTTGTCTTCGATGGATAATATCCACGAGCCCATTGACCCCGCCCAAGCCACTGATACGCCGATGATGGAGGACGACAACGATAAGGTGGCCCTGGAGAGTTCCGATTCTCGCTACCGGGCAAATGCAATTTCTGTACTACGCTTATCAGGACTGACAAATGAGTCAAGCGACCAGCGCGGAGCCGAGCTACTAAGCTTTATCGAGCCTCTTTCTTCTTCTGATGATGATGAGGATGACGGAGACGAGGTTGACGATGCGAACGATGGGGATGACGACATTGGCGACATCGATGCCGAACGAAATATTCTACCCCCGACGAGCGAGCCATCCTTTGGCGGTGACGACGGGAGCGATGTCCGGCAAATCATGCAGCAAGACCTAAACAGCGTCCAATCGCGTTTGGACAACCTATTTGCCGGAATGAACAACTACAACTATGCTCTTCATGCCGTTGTATGTCACACTGGGAGTGGTCGCGGTGGGCACTATTGGGTTTGGATCCGGGACTTTGAAGAAAAGACTTGGAGGAAATACAACGATACCGTAGTGTCGGAGGAGCGCGATACTAGGAAGCTCCTAGACACACTAAATAGCAGCGGGGACCCCTATTTCCTCTGCTATGTCCGGGATGTTGACAAGGAACAACATGTAAGCGTTCCCAAGAGGCAGCCTGCCGGACTTGATTGAATACAGTAGAGCGGCGGTCCTCCTTCATGTCACGTCCGTACCGGGCATCTTGCGGCTGAGAAATCTTTGACCGTGGTGTATATACGACTAGTGACGGCGCGCTCTGTACATGCGCTTTATCCCCCACTATCTTGTGGATGATGATACCCAAAGTAATCCGATAAACCTAATATTATACCGACGGACTCGTTAAATGCCAAAGTAGCACAAGCCCCCGATGTCGCGTTAAGAGTTGCTCAAGAAGACATGTGCTAGACGTCAGTTGCTGGCTGCTCTCGTGGCGCCATGGCGACGACGTATACTTGGTTCCATGTACCCAGCCTTTCAATAAGTCCTCTGGCTTTAATTCTGGTCTGGGGACGTATCTTACACATGTACGTATTAAAGAGCGAGGTGTCCTTGTCACCAAGCATCTAGGAGCTTCTAGCCTATCAAAGGTGTCAGATGCAAAAATGATTTTGCAAATTATCTCGATATGAATCGTTCAGGTCCATATACTCTCTTTGCTCCAGTAGTAACTGCAAAAATCGAATTATGAAGTACCTTTAGTATCTCTAGATGTATATACCAGCCTTGCTCCAGTGGGCGATTGCTGATCGTGTGCCCTCTCCCTCTTGTATATAACTCTCCTTATGCCCCGGTCTTCTCTTTCTCTTAGACTTCAGTTTGCCAGGCTTCCTAGTATCATCACTGCTTTGCCTTGATCTCAGATATCTTTCGACTTCCCTTTCGCCTTTACCCTTCCCCTTTTCGCTGTATTCTCAGCACTTTTATTTGATCACACTGACATTATCTTGACAGGCTCAGCATGGCTGCAGCCCCATATCTCACGGTCTGGTCTTGGACCTTATTGCTTCTCTTGTTGTTCTCCCCGATTATTGCTTCTGATGGTAAGTCTAGTGTAAAATACACCTCTCCCCTAGCTCTACTCTCAGACTAACTCTTCGCATTCCCCTTAGCTTCTCATATTGCTCCTAGCTCCCTGGTCCAGACTGTCGAGGTCACCATCTCGACTATATATTCGAGTGTTTTCTCGGGCACCATCGACCATGGGATGTATCCTGGATATCCAGATATAGAGCCTCCGCCTGAAACCATGGCTTCCGTCGTGGTTACAGATACGGCGGTTCTCGATTTCCCCCTGTCTTTACCTCTGAGAGCTCTTCGGAGGTAGATGTTGCTTCGACTTTGCTATCGGAGATGTCTACCTTCCAGTCCGGTACGCAAGCGAGATCCCCCAAAATTCAGAGAAGAGCAACTAATCATAAGAGTGCGTCTACAGCTGCCTCAACCTTCGCGTCTTTCGAATCCGGGATATTCTTAAGTGCATCCGCAACTACAGGAAGTACCAATACTACAGAGAAGCTGACATCCTGGTCGCTCGTGTGGGGTGGAGGCTCGGTAACTATGCCACCCGTTCCCTGGATGTCGCGCCCGGCCTTGTCAAACTCTTCAGTATATACGGGTGGAATAGCACGCTGGCAACGGCTTCGACAGGCTTCCCCATGAGTTCGGGAATATCTTTTGGAACCTCGTTCAGCATGGGTTGGAATGCTACTTCGACGGCGAGGCCCTCGGGTTTCCCCATCTTTTCCAACTCCTCTTCCGTACTGTCGCCCACAACCGGATGGAACACCACATCGTTAATGACATCCTCGGGTCTTTTCCCGACGTCCTATACTAGTCTGTCGGTGAGCACCCTTGGAACCTCGTCGTCTGTCGAGATCATTTCGTCAAGCCAAGCGCCCGAATTGACCCAGACATCGAGTGCATCGATTTCTTCCTCCGAGGCGTCGACGGAAGCCCCTGCTTCAACGACTTCCGCCGTGCGAACTTCCTCGTCTACGAAAAGGTCTACTCTACCAGATACCTCGTCAACACTGCTATCTACGAGTATCTCTGAGGCTACGTCCACGTTGGTGGCTACATCGACCTTGAGTAGCGTAACTTCCTCCTCTGCCGACAAGCCTAAGTCTCCCACAAGTAGCTCGAAGTCGGTCTCGACAAGCACGCTCAGCACATCTTCCTCGCTGGCGCCGACCTCGACCTCCTCCCTGACTTCTTCCACGGAGACCAAGGCAACCGAGAGCACCCCGAAGCCTTCGTCGAGTACCCCATTGAGCACTTCTTCCAGCACTTCGTCGAGCACCTCGACTACCTCGTCGACTACCTCGTCGAGCAAGTCTTCAAGCACCTCGACTACCTCGTCGAGCAAGTCTTCAAGCACCTCGACTACCTCGTCGACCACTTCGTCGAGTAGTTCGTCGAGTACTTCGTCAAGCTCCTCGAAATCGTCATCGGTCGCGACTACCTCTAGTAAGAATTCTTCTTCGGCGCCTGTCAAGACAAGTGATAGGAAGACTAGCGCTCCTGAGTCTTCCACCAAAGCTCCCGAGACCTCCACCAAAGCTCCTGAGACCTCCACCCAGGCTCCGACTTCTGTGAAGAGTACGTCCCAAACTCAGAAGCCGGAATCGACCAAGGAGCCTGTCACGACGGAATCCGAGACGCCGAGTCCGACAACCACCTCTGAGGCCCCTGCTCAGACCGAGTCGAAGGCCCCAGTCCCAGAGCCTACGGATGTTGAGGAAGAGCCCCCAAGGTTTCTGACCAGCCGCAGGAAGATGAGGAGGAAGAGGAAGAGGAGGAAGAGGACGACGACGATGTGGTTGTCGTTCCCATCCCCATCAAAGGCCAGATACCCCATCCCAAGATAGATATTCACCTCGATTTATCTTGCGGGTTCTGGCCCTTCCCCTTCCTGAGGCCTCCCTTCCTCGCGTGGATGTGCGACCCGCGCCTGCCCTCCCCCATACTTGATCATCCCGCCCCTGAAGCCTCTTCCGCCCCCTGCACCAGGCCAGAAACCTCCTCCAGGCAGCCGACCCAAGCCGACTCCCCCGGACCTGCCCCGCAGCCTGAGCCTCAGCCCACCGGCCCTGCCCCGACGGTCCCTCCTGGTAAGCCTGAGCCTACGGTAACGCGTGAGACTCCGACGGACTGCACGGAAATGGTCACTTTCGACGGAGGTTGCGTGCAAGAGTGCACCACCTTCTCTTATGACCGTCCCAGCGCCGTCCCCACCACGTGGACTGAGTGTGCGGATGAGGAGTGCAGCGCTACCACGGCCTGCGAGAGCTGGATTCCCCGACCGAAACCATCTGGAAATCCCGATCGTGCACGAAGACGTACACGGAGACAGCTTACTGTGAGAAGCGGTGTACCAAGGTTATCAAGCCTGAGAGCACGGATACCGGGTACACCACTCGAACGGACTGTCCCAAGACGGCGACGTGCACTCCGACGGTGGTGTGCGATACCCTGACGACAACAACCACGACATCGTACACGACTCGCACAGAGGAGCCGACGCCCGGTTGCTTGGCCAAGAGGAACTCAATCGACAGCCACGCCAAGTTCCTCCTCGCGTTCGGAGCGATTGACGAGATGGGTGACCCGGAGAATTTCGACCCCAACAAGCCGGTGCCCTCTCCGAGTGCTTCTCAAGGTGGCCTCAAGGCAGCTGCTGCTCCTGAGGTCACTGCGGTTGCAATGGTTCCCCGCGATCCCTCCACCGCCGCCTTAGTACCAGCCGTTGCCGCCCAAAGCGATGTTCCGGACAAGCCCGTCGAGTACCTTGCATACAAGGATTTGCTAACGACCCCGACCATATGGCCCGGCGGCGTAAGTTCTTGGTGGGAGCGGGTACAGGAACAATTGTTCCTCAACGGCGCGGGATCTCCTCTTCTCCTGGCCGCAACGTTCTGGAAGGACCAATACGCGCCGAACCACGCGCTGTTCTCGCCCTTCGCCGAAACTCCGATCGCAACCGGTATCAAGAACCTCCTCGGGTGTGTGGCTGTGGTGATCATTTCCGACCTTGGCGTGTACCACGCCTACTTTGGGAGAAGCCGACGTTTGCCAATCCGGAAGTGGGCGAGGACCCCGCGACAGCCACGCCGTACGATGCGGATGCGGCGTACGAGGACCGGGTGACCAAGTTCCTGAAGGAGGGCAATTGGTACGGCGCCATGGTGGACGAGTACGGGACTATGGCCAAGAACGAGTCGAGCAGGGCTTCAGCATCGCTCGTTGATCTCACGAGCAGCGGCGGCCCTCTGGCCCAAAACACGAGTTCTTGGTTGTTCCTCACGTTGATCCGACCATCGCCTTCCGCCGAGCCCGAAGGACGCGACAACCCGGACGACACGATCGACAGGCTCCGAGACGACTTGGCCAAGCTTCTCGGCATCCCGGAGAGCTCGGCTCGAGTCATTGAGTACCCCAACAACGTCTCGGAAGAGTGGAAACTCCTTTCTCGGATTCCTGGATGGAACAGGGCCAAGAACGACTACTGGGTCAGGAACGCGGGCCACAACGGCGTCTTCATCCAGTACGCGCCTGGGGCTACCTTGAGCGCCAGGGATAAGACAGCGCCGCACCGGCACCTCAAGGTCTGGTTCAACAAGGAGCTCATCATGCAGGAGATGTGGTGCCCTGGCCGCGGCAAACTCAAGAGGCCGAGACTGCCCGATCCCATCTGGAAGCCGATCGAGGCACCGGTACCGCCCGGGGACCAGCTCGCGCCCAAAGACATGTATGAGAGGGCGGCCGCCGAGCACAACAGTCACAGGGAATTGAAATGTGCCAAGGAACCGCCCACCAAGATCTGCACGATGGACGTCTCACAAACGGTCCTCCCCGTCTGGAAGCCCAAGGTCAACGGAGTCATGGACATCATCGACGAGCAGGGCCGACGCGCGCACATTCAAGATTACAGCGTGGAGTTTGGTCAGTTCGTCACGTCCCCTCCGGACCAGAACAAGCTCGGGTTCAACGTGACGGCGGTGTTCGACGGCGACTGGGACGATCACGTCGTTCAATCCGGGTACGGCTGCTCCTGCGTCGACGGGGTCTGCGACATCTTCTCGCCGGCGTGCTGCGGGCAAAACAGCGACTGCCCGGCCGCGTGCGTCTGCGAGGGGACTACCTGCACGCCCGATTCGCCGGCGTGCTGTGCGCTGGATACGTGCCGGACTCGCGACTGGAACGATATCCGGGACTACCAGTTCAGACAGTGGGACGTCCGGATCATGGTGGAGGGCGAGAGGGGCCTCATCTTGACGCAGGATGGGATTTCCAACCGCTTCAACTGCACTTCGACGGAGTGGCAGAATCTCCCGGAGAGCCCGATCCCTGGGTGGTGCACACCGGTAAGTACATGGCTTGACTCCTCCTTTTGCCTCGTTTTTCTGTTCACCTCCTCGTCTCGATCCCAATCGCCATATGTTCCAAAACTAATCACTTCTCTTTTCTTTCTAGCACCGCCGTTTCGTTTGCACGTGGGACTGTGACCATCATTTTTAGAAATGGTCACCCACGATGCTTTAAATTGAAGAGTGGGCAGACGTGATGGAGATGGACTGGGATGGTGTGTTTTTAGCTGTTTGAGTAGTACGGATGCTGGTGTTTTTTTTTTATTCTCTTTCTCTTCATGTTTAACTAGAACCTTTACTTTTACAAGTATTCAATTATTCGTGTGCAATAATGGACTCTCCGCCTCCTCTCTTTGATTGTTCTCGTCTACTGAGGCATCGAGATTGAAGTTTTCGATCATCTCTTCCCCGCTCACTTCTTCGAATGCAAAGGTCTCCCGCAATTCTCCTCATGAGGAGAAAGAAAAGGTTTTCCTCTTCCTTTTTTTTTTTTTTTTTTTTTTCATTTTGCCTTTGCCGCCCCTCACATCTTGGGGCTGTCGGCTATCGGCCCTCCAGCATCGTGACCCGTGTTTTGTCCCCCATCCCATTCAAGCAGATATTTATGTTATACCTGGCACAAAAGGGAGATAGCGGCTGGGATACAATATGCGCCAAATCAAACGGAAACGAAGCCACCAATTTTGTGCGTCTTTCCGGGGTTCGAAAGAAATACAAATAAATTCGTTACCTAACGAGCTCCGTTACCTAACGAGCTCCTTCCTTGACTTGACAAAAGTGAGCAATCGAAGAGGGAAAGAGGTCCTATACCTTGATTTGCACCTGCTCCATGTATTTGATGGTGGAGAAGGGGCGAAGGAAAGAAAACATCGACAAAATGACCCGCGACGTGCAATCGCTTGAGGCTCTGCCTTTTCGTCCCGACTTGTCTCCACCACCCTTTCCATCCCTAAAAATCCAACGTCCGTCCCGGCACATCGCTCGATAGCTTCTTGACATGTTAATCGGAGATGGAATGCCATGCCGCTCCACCCATGGGCCTAGATCCTCTGGGTAACAGTCACAGGTTGCGGGGGTAGTATCCACACGTTCACCAGCGTCGCTGCGTGCAAGCACTCTTTCACCCTGCGGCGTCGTTGCTCTCCAGCTAACTCCCTTGGTGTCTAGTAGGATTGTGACGTCCGTTGGTAGACCCCGCCTTCACCCAATACTACTTAGACTCATGGCCTTGTCCGGCCGGTCGGGTCAGTCTCTCTAACCTTGCCTGATCAGGTGGAGGTGGACCTTGGCTACTTCGTGAATGGGTGTGGTGTGGTCCCCATGAATCCGACGGCCAAACTCTCCGTGCCACACCCGATCAGGCCGTCCAACCGTTGTCTCGCTTGCATCTATCGTCAACGCGTATTCCATCATACTTCACTTCTCGCAGGCAAGGTCGATGTATTCAGACACCCCGATATGGTTATTCCCTCGCCGTGCCGCTTCTTTGGATTTCCCTCCCCTTTCCCCGCTCGCTCGCTAACTCGATGAAAATGTTCACTCGACGGTTCGCAAGCTGCCCCCAACAGCCTGAATTGCCCGACCACAGTTTCATCTTGCGTGGTCTGGACATCTGAAGCCTAAATATAATACCCACTTCTCCAATGTGGAATGGGGATAGAGACAAAAACAAGGGCAAGGGTCGAGATTCAAGAAGGGAGGGTACACAAAGGGGGCCTCCCTCTTCCCAAAAAAAGAAGAGGAAAAAACAGACAGCGACCATCAAAACCCTGCCGTCTCCATTGTGCCTGGCCACTCCCCTTGCTCGGAATATATTAGCCAACCCATCAACAATCTATCTTCAAGCCTTAATCTCCTGCCGCCATTCTTTCCCCCATTTTCCCCATGCTACGATACCTCTAGCTTTCATGCGACTAGTCACCTTCCCCCGAACACCAATGCACATCTCGTGCTATTTACCACCGTCGCACAGCGAGCACATGGCCCTTTCCCTTTGTCTCTCTCGGACTCCCTTTCCATCCTCCTCCTATTCGTGCCCCTTCTCTTTTTTGGCCTCATGTAGCCTAGCCATCAACCCCCTCTCCCCATCTTCGTCGCTTGTGGCCATTAGCAGCCCTTCATCATGCCGACCGGGTTCCCAAAAATAACACACGCCATGCATAACCCCCAACTCGTCCGCTAGCCCTCCCGGGTCGACAATCCGGATAGAACATTGAAGACGATAGCAAAGACTCGAGAGGATGCCAAGACTACTGACTCTTATGTCGAACCTTGGATCCCCTACTTTCGCCGCCCTCCCACAAATAGCCAAGGTGCCTTCTGATCACGCTAACATCTATCCCATGCCTCTTGATTCGGTCTCTTGGTCTCCATATTGTCTGCCCCCTTCCCCTTCCACTTACAGCCCACACCTCCGTTTGGGCCTGGTTAGCATTCCAGGACCTTGACTTTAGCCTCCCGTCTTCTTTACTGCATTAGATAGTCGTGTCTGTCTAATTTATGGATATTCGTGATCCCGTCCATTGTTCGCTTTTCCCCGTTACTCGACTGAGCCTCGGGTCTCGGGTCATGGGGGTCATGCCCACTCATCAATACATGGATGACTTGATAATTTTGATTTGCCTTGGGCCTTATTAGTCCTGATTGACCACTCTCTCGCCTTCTCTCTCCTTGACCTCCTTAGATCTCCCCGCGCAGCACCACAGGTAAGCCGGTCTGTAAGAGAAGTCGCGAGCCCTTTTAATAGCGCTCTTCTTCGACCCTGAGCGCAAAGGGACAGGAGACACTCGCCAAAGAGAAAGAGAGTGTGCGACACTCGCAATCATGGTGCGGCCCCGCTTCGCCGTAAGCTCGGCCATTGCCGCTTTCGCGTGGCAAGCCACCGCCGATCTTTTGCCACAAACCATCACTCTTACAGGTGTTCCAGTCCCGGGACCTGATTACGATGGGCCCGACCCTACCGGCGGTCTGGCACAGCCCTCTAGAGATTGGATTCCTCCCGAGCTGTCCCATCTTATCCCGACTCCGGGAGTGAACTTCACCGGCACCTTGCCAACCTCTATTTCGGAGCCAACCTTTCCACATGAGGGCGGCGAAGATCCGGAAGAGCCTGTGGAAACGGGAACCCCCGAGGAACCCGAGGAGCCTGAAGAACCCGAGGAACCAGAAGAGCCTGAGGAGGATCTCGGCTGCCACAGTAATGGTCTCGACTATCAAAATGGCGGCACATACAATATTGATATGACCGTGGAGGACTTTTTCGGCTTCAAGTCCGAGTTCATAGGTAGGACCACTTGGGTGGAATTTACGCACAGAGACAACTTGCAACGGAGGAAGCTAAAACTCTGGTGTGATGCTAGGATGCGAAAACGCCACCATCTACCCGTACATGATTGATCCTGAAGGTTACGAGTACCCGTGTACTGTTATGCAGACCTTGCCCGAGGGAGACGTTCAGTACTCCGAATGGTTTGTTTTCTCTTTTCATTCACTCCCTTGACGATAACAAAGACGTTCGATTAGCTAGAGGCTAACCTGGATCCTAGCGATGTTCTGTACTCTGAAATGTGGTCTGGTAACTGGTCTATCGTCATCGAGGCCTACGACATCGAGTTCTCTGTCCAGCGTGACTTTGAGCTCGTCGTTGGTATTCTTCCCAAGGTCACCAGTACCGCTGTCGATACCCTTATTGTCGGAATTACCACCCATCCCGATGCAGCGAGTATGGCTATCCCCCAATCCCCCATTCTCCCCGTACCCTTTCTGGGCTTTTTAAACAGAGGCATTGGCTAACTTGGAAATTGTAGCGGTGACAAATTGGCACAACCAGACCAGTACTTTGATTTACTGGCCCGACGCCGTCCTCGCCACCTGCCCAAGCAACACCCAAACCATTACCGAGTGGTTGGAGGGCGAGACCACCACCCTCTACTATAAGAGTACCCGGACGGCGTACCGTGATCCGTTCTACGCTTACTGGACCACCACTGCTGCTGTGTGGGCTTACTGCCATTGGCCTTGGTGGCAGTGGCCCTCTTACCCGGTTCCGACAACCGCGGCCCCCGGCCAGCCCCCGACGCAGCAGCAGCCCACGGCACCGACTCCTACGTCTACCGTATGCCGCGGAACCACGTGCATCACCCAGCAGCCCCCATCACCGTCACCACCACCAGGGTGATTACATCCCCGGGCGTCACCATTACCAGCTTGCCCGGCACGTCCTACACCGTCTGCCGTGGCACGACCTGTCTGGAGGAAGAGTTCCCCACCGCGCCGCCCGGCCAAAACAACCCCGTGCCGTCCAAGACGCCCGACAAGCCGCGCGAGCCGACCACGACTCGCACGACGCCCACCTCGCAGCCTCCCACGCAACCCGGCCAGCCCACGCAGCCCACCGAGCCGCAGCAGCCCCAGGAGCCTCCGTCCACCCACGAGCCCGTCACGCGAACGCGCACCAGGACTCGCGAGGAGTCGCAGACTTGGAATACGGAGCCCATCACGCCGCCGAGCCCGACGTTCCCGACCAGCATACCGCCCATCACCCAGCCGCCCATCGTTACGCTGCCCGGCTCGAGCTACAGTGTCTGCAGGGGCATCACGTGTCTGGACGATATTGATATCGAGATCCCGACGTTCCCTCCTGAGCAGCCGACGCAGCCTAATGAGCCGACGCAGGGACCGGGACCGGGACCGGATCAGCCTGAGGAGCCTGAGGAGCCGGAGCAGCCTGGTGAGCCGGAGGAACCTGAGGAACCTGAGGAGCCCGAGGAGCCTGAAGAGCCCGAGCAACCTGGTGAGCCTGAGCAGCCTGGAGAGCCTCAAGAGCCTGAGCAACCAGAGGAGCCCGAGGAGCCCGAGGAGCCTGAGCAGCCCCAAGAGCCCCAAGAACCGGAGGAGCCAGAGCAGCCGGAGCAGCCTGGTGAACCCCAAGAGCCCGAGGAGCCTCAAGAGCCCGAGCAGCCCGGACAACCCGGACAGCCCGATGAACCTCAGGAACCTGAAGAGCCCGAGCAACCGGGTCAGCCTGGTGAACCCGATGAGCCCCAGGACCCCGAGGATCCCCTACTCGCACTCTGCGCACCCGTACCAACACGCGGACTGTGCAGCCCGGCCAGCCCACGCAGCCGCCTGAGGAGGAGCCGCAGCCCGGGAGCCGCAGCCCGAGCCGACAGCTGAGCCTGGTACTCCACCGGATACGCAGCCAGAGCCCACGGAGAGACCGGATCAGCCTGGCCAGCCTGATGAGCCTGGTCAACCTAACGAGCCGGATCAACCTGGTCAACCTCAGCAACCTGACCAGCCTGGAGAGCCTCAGCAGCCAGAACAACCTGGCCAACCTCAGCAACCAGACCAGCCTGTAGAAACTCAGCAGCCTGATCAGCCTGGACAACCTCAACAGCCGGATCAGCCGGGGCAGCCTCAGCAACCTGACCAGCCTGGACAGCCTCAGCAGCCAGAGCAACCTGGCCAACCTCAGCAGCCCGACCAGCCTGTAGAAACTCAGCAGCCGGATCAGCCCGGCCAACCGGACGACCAGGACGATCCCCAGACTCGCACGCTCCGAACCCGCGAGCGCACCCGGACATCGAGCTTCGACCAGGGCCAGCAACCCGTTCCCACGACTCCTCCTCGTGGTCCCGTTGAGACGGTGATTGAGCCTACACCAACGCCCGATCCTGGCCAGCCTCAGCAGCCGGAGCAGCCTGGTCAACCCCAACAGCCGGAGCAACCTGGACAGCCCCAGCAACCCGACCAACCTGGGCAGCCTCAGCAGCCGGAGCAACCTGGACAGCCCCAGCAACCCGACCAACCTGGGCAGCCTCAGCAGCCGGAGCAACCTGGACAGCCCCAGCAACCCGACCAACCTGGGCAGCCTCAGCAACCTGATCAGCCTGGGCAACCTCAACAACCTGATCAGCCCGGCCAACCTCAACAACCTGATCAACCCGGCCAGCCTCAGCAGCCAGAGCAGCCCGGACAACCTCAGCAACCTGAGCAACCGCAGCAACCTGGGCAGCCCCAGCAGCCCGACCAGCCCCAGCAGCCACAGCAACCTGATCAGCCCGGCCAACCTCAACAACCTGATCAACCTGGGCAGCCTCAGCAGCCGGAGCAACCTGGTCAACCTCAACAGCCGGATCAGCCTGGGCAGCCTCAGCAACCTGATCAGCCTGGGCAACCTCAACAACCTGATCAGCCCGGCCAGCCTCAGCAGCCAGAGCAGCCCGGACAACCTCAGCAACCTGAGCAACCGCAGCAACCTGGGCAGCCCCAGCAGCCCGACCAGCCCCAGCAGCCACAGCAACCCGATCAGGGTAACAATGGAGGCAACAATGGGAACCCGCAACAGCCTCAGCAACCCGAGCAGCCGCAACAACCTCAACAACCCCAGCAGCCCGATCAGCCTCAGCAGCCTCAACAGCCTGACCAAGGGAACAATGGTGGTAACAACGGCGGCAATCCTCAGCAACCCCAACAGCCTGAACAGCCTCAGCAACCCCAGCAACCTGATCAAGGCAATAATGGAGGGAACAATGGGAATCCCCAGCAGCCGCAGCAGCCGCAGCAGCCGCAGCAGCCGCAGCAGCCGCAGCAGCCGCAACAACCTGAGCAGCCACAGCAACCACAGCAACCTGACCAGGGCAATAACGGAGGTAACAACGGAAATCCCCAGCAGCCTCAGCAACCTCAGCAGCCCCAGCAGCCCGATCAAGGCAACAACAACGGTGGCAATAATGGCGGGAACCCTCAACAGCCCCAGCAACCTGAGCAACCTCAGCAACCTCAGCAGCCGCAACAGCCTCAACAGCCTGATCAGGGTAACAATGGTGGCAATAATGGAAACCCTCAGCAGCCTGAGCAACCGCAACAACCGCAACAACCGCAACAGCCGCAGCAACCTGACCAGGGCAACAATGGAGGTAACAACGGAAACCCTCAGCAACCTCAACAGCCGCAACAGCCGCAACAACCGCAACAACCAGATCAAGGTAATAACGGAGGCAACAATGGAGGAAACCCCCAACAACCCCAACAGCCTGAGCAACCACAACAGCCTCAACAACCGCAACAGCCCGACCAGGGCAACAACGGTGGCAATAACGGAGGCAATCAGCAACAGCCGCAACAACCCCAGCAACCGCAACAGCCCCAGCAGCCTGATCAGGGTAACAACGGAGGGAACAACGGAGGCAACAACGGCGGTAATCAACAGCAGCCCCAGCAACCTCAGCAGCCCCAGCAGCCCCAACAGCCTGATCAGGGTAACAACGGAGGGAACAATGGCGGCAACAACGGTGGGAACCAACAGCAACCTCAACAACCTCAGCAGCCTCAGCAACCCCAGCAACCCGATCAAGGCAACAACGGAGGAAACAATGGAGGGAACAATGGAGGGAACAATGGCGGCAACCAACAACAACCTCAGCAGCCCCAGCAGCCTCAACAACCCCAGCAACCTCAGCAGCCCGACCAGGGCAACAACGGTGGCAATAATGGAGGCAACAACGGAGGCAACAACGGTGGTAACCAGCAGCAACCCCAGCAGCCTCAACAGCCTCAGCAACCTCAGCAACCCCAGCAACCTGATCAAGGTAACAACGGAGGCAATAATGGAGGCAACAATGGAGGAAACAACGGTGGTGGCCAACAGCAACCCCAGCAGCCTGAGCAACCGCAACAACCCCAGCAGCCCCAACAACCTGATCAAGGAGGCAATCAAGGAGGTGACCAGGGCGGAAACCAGGGCGGCGATCAAGGTAACAACCCTGGAAGCGCGGTGGCAACACCAGCAAGCCGTCCTACTTTGTTCCCCGTATCTCGGGTACCGGCTGCGGTGGCTTCGCAGATGGTGGCGGAGATGGCTGCCATGGTGACAGATAGGCCTAAAGGTGAGTTTTGGATGAGTTGGGAAGCACTTGAACGTCGTCCGCTAACTCGGCGGGAAGCCTCTCTACGACGCCGACAGGAGAAGGATGAGCCAGTGGAGGAAGACGAGGAGGAAGATGAGGAGTCGGGTGAGGATACCGACGAAGAGGAGTACCCAGATGATGTTGTTGTGTTCCCTACGATCACGGAGACAGTCTGGGACGCCAACGCTACACAGACGTATATGGTCACAATTGCGCTGGCTCAGAAGACGGTCTACGAGGATGGTAAGTCAAGGCCACGTTGGCGACAACAAACCAGCTCTTCAAGCGAGCGATATCCGCTAACACGAACTACCAACAGTTAATCACGTCGTTACATCAACTTTGTAAGAAATCCCCCTCCCCGCTGCTCTTACTATACCGACGAACGGTACTAACGATATCCTGTAGCATCCCGCCGGCTCAAACTCTCTGTGTAAACGATGTCGACGTCACAACGACGGAAACATTCCAGGGAGAAGAGCAGACCGAATTCTATGTAGATTACGTGACGGTGACTACGGAGCAGACGATTTGGATAGGGTAAGTAATGGCTCTTCCTTTGAGTTGGTATGAGTGGCCAGGCTAACGAGGCGACTGGGACAACAGACAAACAACAGTGCAAACGTACTCGGACTACCATATCATGACGCAGTGCTGGCAGGGCGGAGGCTGGTACGGATTCCCTTAAGGGACGGGGGACTAGGAGACAGGGGAGGTAGGCAGCATCGCATGAAGAGAACGATGCGAGTTTTTGAACTGGGTGTGGCTATGGCATTGGTGTATGGTGCATCTTTTGAGTTTTGGAGAAAACTGCCCCCTTCTGTCGTATATACTTGAATGTCGCTTTTTCTAGGCTGTGGACCAGGGCCACCCTTTTCCTCTTCTTTTCTCTCCTTTTCTTCTTTTTACTCATATTATTCATACATTTCTTTTTGTTTTCTCTCCTTTGGAGTGTCGATCTAGCTGCCTCGGTAGACAGTTGCATGTCAGTGCATTGATCCAGAAGTATCCAGTTCAATGTTGTTCGTTGCTCGATCCTGTGGAACAAAGCGTCAGCTCGGGACTTGGTAGGGCTGGTGCCCAACCCTCCACCAAGCCCCGGTCTCGACGGTCCGGTTGGACGTGATCACCGAGGAGGATCCGCCAGGGCATAAATGATCACCACGCCTTTTGTTTAGAACCCTAAATTTCCCCAACCTGTTCTCCCGCCTCCGCCCCTTATGATTCAGGGCAAGCAGAGTATGAACCATTATGCGAATTAATCCATTCGCAGAAAGCAGCACCCCGTCTTCAAGGTTGCTGACTACATGATGATATTCAAGAGTGCGGCGTGTGACCATAAACGATCGCTTGAGCTCTCTCTCACTTACCCTTACTGGGATGGGTTTACACCCTCCCCGGCTCGAATTCCAATATTCGCCCTTTGTCTTTGCAAAGTGGGCAAGTTTTAACTAGTCAAGATCGAGGCAGGGCAGGGAAGATGGATCAATTGCGGGATTGGTGGGTGAGGGTTGGCCTGCTTGATTGAAACGACGCCACGCGCATCAGCGGCAGATGAGGGGGTATGGTAGCTCAAGTTTCTTTCTTTTTTTTTTTTTCTTTCCGTTGTCTCCCCATGTTTATGATCTCTTTTCCTCAAAGCCCGAGAGTGAATCTTGGTTCCCTCACCTAGGCACGCTACCTTCAATCTCTGGGAAGAGGGCGAGGGAGGCGCAGCCACGTGAAGGGGCGGTTTCGGCTTTGTCTGGGCCCTTCCCTGGCTCGCCAGCTTCTGCTTTCCTCCTGTTCGCCCAACTAATAAGGCTGGTGGTCCTTGTCGACTGACCAGAACGGCAGGGAAATACCTCCGCCTATCTCTCCACATACACAATACATCAGTCTTGGTGCACTATGCCTTACACAGGGAAAGACGGAACGGGAGTTGGCAAGGGGAACCATGGACGGCGATCTGTGAAGGAACTAGTCCCGACACAGGTGACGCAAGGGGAAGCGAGGCTATAGATGCTATCCTGGAGGCATTGACTGCGAGAAGAAGCAAGGAAGGAATAAAGTGGTTAACCGAGACACACGTGTATGGTGGGAGAGGAACCTTGGGATGCTCAAAGGATATTGTGTTGCATCGTAGATTTTTTTCTCGAGCCACCCTCCCTCTCCAAAGATGCTGCTACGATTGTGTCTCGTGGGCGCGATGGGCCGCACGGCACAGAGACTCGAGAGAGAGAGAGAGAGAGAGAGAAAGAGGGGGATGTGCTGGAAGTGAGGGAGGCAAACGAGCTAGAGAGATCTGGGCGACGCCGCGGCGCGGACGCGTGTTTGGGGGCTTTGTGCGCCATCTTCCTTGGGGTCATGGTTTCTGGTTCAGAATAGCGCTCCGTCGGAGTTTTGGCCGACTTTGGTTCGGTTGGGGGCAGAGAGAGAGAGAGAGAGGGGGTGTGGACTGCCTATGCGCGTGGGTGAGCTGAGCGTGGGAAATACGGTTTGTGGCTGGATCGCGCTCCAGGCGTAATCCATCGATGCTTCACATGGAATGGTTAGAGAAGGGGGAGTGGCTGATGAGAAGGCGGGTTGCGATTGGGGGAACCAAGATTTCAAAGAGATTTAAGCTGTGGTGTCTGCAGTGTGTCCGAGGAGGAAATTAGACGCCCGGAGCATTTACGTGGGATCCTCAGGCGAGGCAAAGTGGAAGATCGTGGCAAGTCCACTGCGAAAGAGGGCGGGCGGGCGCCCTTTTCGCCTTGGGGGACCAAGGAAGAAGATCCATCGCGTCGACGGGGCGGCAGAGGCGTGGGCGGGAGAAGAAAGGAACAAAAGGAGAAAAAGGGGAAAATATGGATGCGTGCGTTGGTGGCTTGTTCTAGCCTCGACACGACTCGGCACTCGACGCATCGATTGTTTGGCTCCGACCAGTCCCGGCGCCATGGTCAACGTCCTGCCCCTTCATCTCCGTGAGCCAGAAAACAAAAGAGAAACTTGTCCTGCTGAGAAGGAATATCATTACGAATGAGGCCCAGTCCTAGCTTCGTCTTTCTGCCTTTTTGACTTGTTTCTTTTTCCTCTTTTTCATTCGGGTTCCCCTGCCCTGTCCTCTTGGGCTCGGCTCCTTTAATTTTGCTGAGGCTGAGGGGTGTTTGGGATCACTGTTCTACTTCGTATATGTCTTCGATCGCAGGATGAATTCATCGGCCACCATCGTAATTCATAATCCATGTGCAGAGCCGAGTCGTTGATCTTTTTCTTATATATTCAGCTGGCGGACAGCTTTAAACCAGACGATTCATACAAGTATATCCCCAGCGAAGGGACCTCCGCCATTGATTTGCAAGGATTGATTGAGCATTCGAACGAAGAACTGGTGCCAGAAGCCACACCGGTTCTGACGCCCGAGCATGAGTGCAATTAAACTGTCACATCTTCTAGAACGCGAGGAAAACGCTCGTTCTTGAAACCATCCCCCTTCATTGTTGGACAAGTAACGGGCGACGGGACCTATCACATGAACAGACGTGCCAAGGAGGAGTGTACCTTATTAGCGTGGAGCAAAGACGAGACCTGACGAATTGAAGGATTCAGCATGTTCTCGACCAGCTCTTTTTCTTTTCTTCTCTTCTTGTTGGTTTGAGATGAGCAGTTCGCTCCTTTCCTTTCCGGGGTATGAGAGCGGGTGAACAGGCCACCCAAGTCGAGATGAAGGACGAAAACGACGTGGGGGTGTGCGAAGCGAGGGGATCCTTGCTTGTAACATTGGAAAGGCACCTCGCTGAGCCAGAGTACCTAGTCAAGTCGGAATGCAACACTGCAATGTCTGATGTGTCTTCATATTGTTCAAGCCAAGGCCATGTCCTCTGCGTCGAATTTTGAATGACGGGCGACGTCGGTTTCCCCACAACAAGATGACTTGCAGCAAGAGGAGATCAATGTAATTTTCTTAGTTATTTGAGAGGAAGGGCGAGCAATAATAATTAACTGGATTGAGCATCAACTTTTTGCTGAGGACTTGTTCTCCATTAATTCGGTGTAATTGAGTCAATGGCTCCATCTTGACGACGCTAAATTTGATGGCGAGTGCACAGTATTGCGTGTGGTTAACCAAAGGAGCACTCACTGGAGGAGGGGGTGCACACATGAAACTGCTACGCGAGGTTGCAGTTGGAAGCTGGTTCGGTCCTGAGAAAGGCGCACCTAATATTACAATTTGCGTCCTTTTGTCGGTCTCTGTTGTTAGCTTCATGGCTGTTGGTCAAAGTAGGCGTGGACACAATGCAATGCAATCATCAGATGAGGTAATCTTTTGTGTTGTCGTAATGATATCCCCGGCGTTCCTAATAGCTTGCCAGTTGCATGAGACGATGCGAGGCAACGTGTGTGCGGAACCAACGCCGGCGGATCTTGTGAGCCCGAATCGCCCGAGTTGTGCGCCGGATGGAACACTTGAGTATTACTCTCCAGCGCACTGCGATGTATACACTGCACAACTTGTTTGTTTTCTTGGCTCTCTTGCTCGTGCACTCTCGCACTCGCTGTCCGCATCGCCTCGTCTGCAACAGTTGGCGGCCGACCCAGACTAATCCTCGCCCCCTCCGACCGAGAACCAGCGCGCGGTCAGTGCTAGTGACACCATGGTGGTGAGGGTGAACAAAGGCCACTGCGGGAAGACCGAGCAAGCCTCTGACCGAATTGTGCGTGCGGACTGGAACCACGGCCGGAGACGCGAGCCATTCCAAGTTGGATGGCAACGGTGCAAGAACCCTTGAGCCGCGTAAGCATCGCCGCCGAGCCGAGGAGAAGATTGCACTAGATCCGGAGATAGACCTGAATAGAAACGGGATAACTTGTTGGAGTCAAACCTCAAGATCTTCGAAAACTGCGGCGGTGAGGAGGACATGCAAGCGCTGAGTGTGGTGCCGCGCCGGCCGTCGCACAAGCGAGCGGGCGAGCGGCACGGCGAGTGGCGTTCATTGTGCATCCGCCGTCGTAGGCGGTCGTGTTTGCTCGCCATTGATACACACACTTGGTGCTCTCTAAAAAGAGTCGCTTCCATGATTTCAAAAGACGCCGGATAGCACAGGCGACAACCGCCCGGCGCCCGCGGCCTGCTGATTGGCGCAACATTCGCCAACGCCGGAAGCCTCCAGCCCAGCCCGCCCCCGCGAGTCTGCTTCCCCGGCGGGCGCTGGGTATTCTGGATCAATTCGCCCCGGAGCCGCGGATTGAACGGGACGAGAATATAATTTCTTTTTCTCCTTTTTGTACGGCAACCATCCGATCCCGCGAGCCCGATTCTCTCACATACCCGATTTTCTTTTTCTTTTCCTTTTCCGTTTGGCCAACATGGGCTAATTGTCTGGACACCATTTCATTTTAGAGTTGTTTTTCTTGTTTACAGGCTTGAATATTTGTACCCGACCCTGTACGTGTTTCGCCCTTCCCCGCTTAAGCCGGCCGTAAGATCCAGTTCCGCGCTGATTACTTTTCTTTTTCGTTCGTTGGTGCAAAAGCTTAATTTTTTTGCCCCAAGCACGCTTTCCTTCACCCTTCCACTCTCGCAACTATAGGCTTAAATATCCATTAGTGCGGCGTATTAATGGGTTTCGGAAAGGAATCCGGAGTAGGAGCCCCAAGGCCAAACGGGGAAGACGGGGGCAGGGCGCTACTGTGCGATATTCATGTTTAAGCTTTTGCGATGATTAGCGTGCTCACATCCGTGCTCAAGGGCAACATTGAACCCGGAGCGGAGCCCGATCTCCATCCCAAGAATCCTTCAGTTGATTTGGATGCGGATGTCGGCAACAAAAGCAACGGAGAACGGAGGGGAAAAGCCCCAAAAACCGCACCCATGCCTGCCTCACTCTCCCCATCACCCACTCCCCTGAATCAAGAAGTTTGCAGCGCTGATCCGCCCAGCATGCCCGTTGACCGTGCGCACCCGCGAAATGCCCATCGAGGCAAGTTCCTCAGCAGAGTCGCATTTCGCTCGCGAAGGAACCGATCCATGGTTTCCCGTCTTTTTCGCTACCTTTTCTTCGTTGGCTAGTCGTCGCCGTTTCCCCTTACAGCCCGCGACCGACGGCTGATTTGCATGCTCACCCACCAACAGGCGACACCTTTAGACAACCGATGCTAGTTAGTTATTGAAAAAGGAAGACCAAGTCAGGCGAAGAGGAAAAAAATTCACGGCGGGTTTTCGACAAGTCAATTCGCTGGTTGTAATTTCTGGTTCAAATGGCACGGTTTTTGAGTTTGTGATTCGCATCAATTGATGCAACCAGATTCATATTAGGTGTATGTATCCATCCTTGTTTCGAATATGTACAGCGGGCCCGGCCCTGTTCCGCCGGATCCCCGTCCCCACCTCAAGTTCCTCCTCCAAAATACCCATGCCGCTCTGTTTCCAAGGGGAAAATTAGGTCCGTCCCAAACGACAGTCGCTGTCCAATTAACTTTTCTGTACCAACGTAGGGGTGCGCCCGCTTGCATGGTGAGATTAGAGGTAGATGTAGCACAAGGGCGAGCCTCCGACAGTGTTCATGAGGTCCTTGATCTTGACAGGCGGGGCGAGGGGAGAGAGGTCGATGGTGTCCTCAACGGTAACGTTGGCGCTGGGAGGGTTGTTCTGGAGGGTGGCGGTACCGTGGACACCCTACAAACAGTCAATGCGTTAGTATACGTAGCCTGACCCCAGAGAACATTCAGCGACGAGTTATCAGCGAGGCTTACCTGACGGTTCTTGAAGTCGAGCATCTGCCAGATCCAGTAGATGCGGTCAATCTGGGCGTGGTGGAGGTAGAAAGCCGGGTCACCAGGGGAGATGAAGGGATCACCACCGGGGTCACCGCCGATGGTGTAGTGACCACCACCGTGAACACCGAGCTGGTTGAGCACGTAGCGGTCGTCGCCCTGCAGATGGGCCTGGAACATCTCGATGTTGTTGTTCTTGAGAATCACGCTGGTCGAGTTGAGGAAGCTAGTGAAGCGCTTAGCGATGCCGGCATTGAGATCGCGCTTGAGGCAGCGCTCGTTGTCGGCAATGGGGTTCTCGACACCACTGAGGATAGGCTGGCCGTACACGGGCAGGATGATGGTGCCAAAGTGAACCTTCATGTCCTTGAAGGGACCCTTGGTCACGCAGCCACCACCGTTGCCGGGGAGCTTGAGGATGTTGCCGTTGATAGGCTGCACCATCTGGATGCCCTCATGCGCAAAGAAGGCACCGTTGCCGCTCAGAGACGTGTCGGAGCCGTCGAAGACCGGGGAGGCGTTGGGGTTGTTGACGTCTAGTCCCCACTCCCAGTAGGGCAAGGGTCCAGTGTAACCGCATTCCTCGCGGAGCTTCGTCTCGTAGGTATAGACGAAGTAGCGATGCCATGTGAGGAAAGTGGCCTAGCCGAGGAGTGCATCTGCGTTAGAGATCACTATTCAGACAGGGTGGGACGGTTATAATCTTACAGTGAGATGGATGGACCCAGTCTGGAAAACATGGACACCAACAAAGTCGTCAAATAGCGACTTAGCGGCCGGGATGATGTTGGGGTCGAAGAAGCTGGGCTTCGTCTGAAGACACTTGACCGACGCAATGTACTGCTTGCGCTGAGCAGAAGTCAGGGTTCGCCTAGTTTGAAGCTTGCGTTAGTTTGCGCGCCTGATGTTATGGACAACTTGGTAGTGGTGAGGGGCTCAGGGCAAGGGAAGGGGTAGGAGGGGGGCTATATCGTACCATTCCCTTCTAACCTTGATCTGGCTAGGGCTGCAGCCGCTGTTCAGACCGCGCTTCGCCATCCTGAGGGCAGTCTCCTGAGAAGAATCCGCCGCGAGCTGGGCAAGCTGTGCGAGGGCATCACCTCCCTCGATCTCGGGGATGCTGAAATCATCCTCGGTGAGGGCAGGTTCCTGGGCAGCTACACCGACCGCCGCGGTGGCGGCGAGCAGGAGCCCGAGAAGACGCTTCGCAGAAGGCATCTTCGGTACACGGATGGGGGAAGATGGGTTGCCGTGTAGGGGTTTTGAGATGGCACGAGGGGAAGGATGCAAAGGACAAGCGTCGTCAAGGAAAAAGACTGGTCGATCCTTTGTTCCCTTTGGAGAGTCTCAATAACCTTGAGGAACGATCCGGACAATCATTTCTAAAACTGGGAGGAGATGCTTGCTTCTTATTCTTTTCCCGCTCCTCCCTTCGTGAGATTGGCATGGAGCCGGGGTGGAGAGTCGGTTTGGAGAAGACCCTGCAAGAAACCAAAGGGGTGACAGCGCCGGAAGGGGGGTGCAGTAGGAGGAGAGGCAGGGTAGACCACCCCCTTTCTCAAGGGGAACGGACGGGGGAATGGCACCCCAAAATTGGGGGACTCGAACACACAGAAGACCAACGTTGGACCCGTAATAATCTGTGCAACTTTCCAGCCTTCACAGCGGACTCGAAAATTCACACAGGGTTACCGGCCGCCACGGGACACGGAATGACCGCCAAGAGAGAGACAGGGCCGTCGTCATGGGGCGTGGGCTGTTGGTTCGGCGTTGTGTCGTCTTCTGTCAACGAGGCCATGAGTACAGGCCGGGGTGTTGGGATTGAAGAGACAAGGGATGGACGCGAAGAGAACTGACAAGAGCCCACCTCGTCTGTCCGCCTACTGCGCACTAACAGGTAGTTGCATCTGTTGGGCGGAGTGAAAGGGGGAACATGGATGGAGAGGCCATGTCGAGGCAGGACCGTTGTCATCTTTCCTTGTCGACATCCCCGTCAAAGTTTCCCCAAAGCCTGTGCGTGATCTCATCTATTGTTCTAGCTGGTCTATTTTTTTCTGGTCGAGGGTGGCGCCTCCCACAAGGGAAGACCAAATCTCCCACATGCTCTTTCTCGAAACGGCTGTTCCAGTCGGGACAAGTCACCACAGGAAGAAGAAACTGATACAAGTACTCGGCGCCATGTCACTAGGCTGGGTCAATCGAGGTTGACCTGAAATGATAACTCCCAATGTACCAGCGAGTATTATGGGACATGGCCAGCACGCCGAGGTCTCCCATGAATAACCAGTCCCTCCAATGTTCCTTCTCTTCGCCTAGCTCTCCAACTGACCGGACGACATCCTGGTTCTTGCCTCATCCACGCTTGAGGAAAGGGCGCCCAGACCAGGTAAAGTATGATGTCTGCGGAAGAATTATGCCGCTTGCGCCAATCGACGAAGAGTGTTTTGCCAGCCCAAGGTTGCATCCACACCTCGCGGAATCGGCGGGAGCCATGCAACTTGCCTTAGTGTTGGAGCGGTCTCTGTGGGAAAAGGGGGTGTGGAAAGAGATCCAGGTGGGGGACATGGGGGAGGAGGGGGTGTCTCTTCTCCAGGGCTCCATGGCTGGCACAAGTGTCCCCTTGATCGGTTGGTTGAGGGGTAAGCACAAAATTCCATGTCGCTATTCTTATCCCCCTGTCAATGATTGTCCAGGGTGGATTGAAGACGCTCATCTTCGGCCAAGCCTTCCTTGCCCCGGACGCTAGCTTCATCGAGACAGGTACAGTTTCTCAGTTGTTCCTTCGCTCTGGCGGAACCGAGAGGAGGATGGGACAACCCCTCTCCCTCTCCTTCGCCTCTTCCTTCTCGCTCCTTTGGATGGTTGGTGGCCAATTGGAGCCTGGTCCGCCCTGAAGAAAATATCAGCATTAGCTTGCTTTAGGGGCTTCTTGGACGAACCTTCCAAAAAGATGGGAGCGATGAAGGATTCCTCATCAGGGGTTTTCTCCACAACCCTAACTGTACGACACCTGGCATGCTTATCTTCGTTTGGGTACTTCGTTCCGGCCGGAGAATCCTGCTGGCCATTCTTGTCCATTTCAATTCTTTCCAGAACCCGTCAGAAAAAGAAAGAAAAAGACAGAAAGAAAGAAAAAGACGAGAAAGAGGGGCGAATCTACAAGTAGAACAAAGTAACGCGGTAGCTCACGGCGCGCACTTCTTCCCTTCGTTGTCGACGAGCTTAAACTTTTCCCTCGACCACGACCACGACACACCTCAACACCACTGAAAGAGCACGATATTCGAGGCTATTGTCTGTGTTCTTGCGGGGACCGGAGCGAACTCGTCTGGGGAATGACCAAAAACGAAAGAAAAATAAAAGGAATAAAAGACCGAGGAACAAAAGAATCGATGAAGTACTTCGGCACAGCTAGCTCTGTACCAAGCCACTAACGCGGTATACTAAAAGTCCCCGCCCTACCCTTACCCTCCAAGGCATCAATCAGCTAACGCTCAAAGAGCGAGGGTGGACAGCCAGCAGGCAGAATGCTTTTCAGGGAAAACTGGTACGGGTGGGGGTCCGGCCAGGATCTTTGCGTGTTGCAGTTGGCCTCTCCGCATTCCATCTGCTCGCATCATGCCAATATTATTCACCGATTTCCCTCGGACAATTGGACCCCCGAAGGTAATGTTGCGTGTTCCAAGTACTTTTCTCCGCTGTGAGTCGACTATGACGGGCAATTGTAAGTTTGACCGCTCGGCACTGGTACGGGACCGGTGCCGCCTTGATGACGTTTTCCCACGGGAACTGATCAAATTAGTTCAGTGTTCAGTACGTGTGCTGTTCACAACCAGCACGTGCAGTCAAGGGTTCCCTATTAATCCGGAGTCAGAGTAAGTCCACTAGAACAAGCCACCACCGGCTAAGATTCATTAGGGAAATGTTGCGGCAATTCCGCCAGGATCAACTTGATCGGATTTGATTTAGTGTAATAGGGCGCTGAAGCTTCCAGCCCAGTAAACCAAAAACGGTCATAAATCTTCTTGTACTTTACACTAGCTCCGAAGAACGGACCAGAAACCGGCCTGCTCCTAATGCTCAGTTTCCATCCTGGGATGATGAACGAAAAGAACATTGAACATGCCCGGCCTCTTCTCAACAACTTCACACCCTAGGCCGTTAGCACTCTTGATGAAAGCGTCTCCTGGTGCACAGCGCTATCTAACTATCGGGCATCGTACGGGTCATTGCGATGCCAACATGCCAATGCGGCTGGAGTTGTCCTGGCTGGGCAGTTTATGATCCTTCAGTTTCTCCCCGCCGGCGCTTTCTTTTCCAACCCTTCCCCCACCCGCATCAACCCATTTGAGGGTGGGCTGGTCCAACCCTGCACGCTGAGTGATGCTCTGCTGCCTCTCGTATTCGCTGCACATCGACTACACTACACTCCTTCTTTTGGTCACTTCTCCTTTTTCGGAAACAGTCCCAGCGTGCCCAGCCTCTGCTCCTTGTCCTCGTGAACAGCACACAAGCACACATGAGGAGTGTGCTTCTTAGCGCCTGTATTTTGATTATTGTTCATGTCTTGTAACGTCAGGTTCCGGCGTGCTGGGAATAGCGTCGCCTCCATTTCCAACTTTTTGAAATTACCCTGTCGAAGGCTCAAAGCAGCGGCACGATGCAGTGCTAACTCAGGACCCCCATCCTCATCTAACCCCATCTCTATCATCTTGTCCTCGAGCAAATGAGAAGAGAAGTAAACACCCCACGCAGGCTCTGTCGAGCTTGAGCGTTTGCAGCAACACATACAGGCGAACAGCAATGCCTGCCGCCAAGTGGCCTTAGAGTTCAGGGCATTACGCAGAAATTCGACTGTATTTCGATTTATCGACAACCTCACGCTGCCCCGATCACCATTAGCAATGCGATAATATACGTAGGGCATGATAGTAGGGCGACAGGGTAGCTTGTCGTGTCTCAAGCACTGCCCCATGATAGATTTGCTGTTGGGAGGGTCCTCAATCTAGCAACCACTTTGCAGACAAGGCTTGTTCTCGCACCGCACGTTCGTGGCACTAAGAGCTCGACGACTGGGGCGTTAGCGGTTGAAGTCATCTTGACTGATAATTCTCATCTCAACTTTCTTTTTGCCCCTCCACCTGTTCCGTCCACAAAAGCATTAGGTCGGTCCAGGATCAACTCTCCCATTTCCTACCTCACTTTCCCAGCTCCGGGCCCAATCCCGCTCCGCGCTTGCCGAACAAGACCAAGCCGTTGGATTTCCAGCTCCTGCTTTCTCGTACTTGGAATACCAACCTGGCTTAGCTAGGGTTGCACGCGTGATTCAGGGAAGGGCTTTGCTTCGAAGAGACAGAAGGTCCCTTGAGGGATGATTGCCAAGATTGCCAATTCTGCCCGCTACCTTCCGGCCGGCCTTGCACCATTCCTGATCTGGAAGACAATGGTAGCCCGCTTTTCCCGACAACTCAGCCCGGCGACGATTCCTTGTCCCATCCTGCCTTCCTCTTCAACACTGGCGCTGTCAATCATTGCCTCATCTTGACACTTGCAGAAGCCAGCCTAGAAAAGAAGCGAGCGACTCGGATCCGTGAAAGGCAAGAAGAAAAACAATAATCCTCCCTTCTCCTTTTATCGGCGGTTCATTGTCGGTGTCAATGGCCCCCGCCTTTCCTCCTTGAAGACTTGTTCGTGTTGCCCTCGAGCTGGCAAAGGTTTAGCATGGTGGGAGCCAACCTACGGGACGCTGTTTTGGGGATTGCTTGAATTGGAAAATGGCCATTTCGACGCCCCAGAGGCCGTGTTATCCGCAGTCATCCCCTGGCCAAGCTCGAGGCGAGCCGCGAAAACCATGCACCGGGGTTCTGCCTCCATGTAACGTACCTCCAACTCATCTGGCCTCATGTCATCCCCGGTCTTCCATCCATCGAGACTCGGTAAAGCAGGTGTCAAAGTTGTCAAGATTGTGAAGGGGTCTCTCTCTCTCTCGACGAGATTCTTCTCCGGGCCGGCCCAAGGGTAAGAAGAAGGGGAAGGAGGAAATCGCGGCCGTCCCTCCCACCCCCGATCTTCGCGGAGGCAGCTGCACGTCGGTAAATAGGAGAGAAATCTATTGGGCGCCCCGGTAGAGGAGACGACCATGTGTGCGTCACCATGGGCCAATGATGGGAAACGGGGGCGACGTCTGGCTGGCATCTTGGTGTGTCCGTGGCGCCTCC